GTCGACGAGGTATTCAGCTGGCGGGGTACATGTACCTTGTCGACTGGAAGGGTTTCCTTCCAGCCGGCGGGGTACATGTACCTCGCCGGTCGACTGGAAGGAAATCCGTCCGGTCGATGAGGTACTCGACGGCTGGAAGGAAATCCTTCCAGCCGCCTTGCCGGCCCTTTAAAGGGCGGGTATCCGTGGATACCCGCTCGGATACCCGCTGCGGCCGACGGATACCCGCTAGCGGGTGCGGATGCGGATGCGGATGGCCATTTGGCCTGAAAAAGCAGCCGGATATCCGGATGCGTAGTGACCAGCTCTATCCAACGCTGCCACAGATACGGTATCTGCCATGTATCACTATGTATCTGAGCCCCAATAAAAAAAAACTATCTGACCAATCTGCTTTTATTTGCAAGGAGATTCAACAAATTTGGTTTTTGGCCATGCAGCTTTGCAGAATTCTCCATGATACACCCAGTGTATCGTATCTGTGGCAGGGGCGTTGATAAACGCACTGCTCCCCCCTCCCCGCGTGCCCACTCCCCCGCCCCTCGGAATCCTGTTTTCGGGGAAAACAGGATTCCGAGGGGCGGGCAGATGAACCCGCACTTCCTGACAAGGTGAAGGGAGAACTTTATTCTCCCTTCATGTTGTGAAAGGGAAGAAAGACTTTACCCCTGCTGGCCGGGAGGGGTACAGTCTTGATGGCCAGGAGGAATCCCTCCTGGCATCAGGACCAGTCTCAAAAATCAAAAGTGTTTTGAAATCTTGTTTATAAGTGGAGCCCAAGCATCAAATTGTCCACTCAAATTAGATATCATCAGGATTGGTTCATTGTTATACATTGTACCTTGTCAGCCAGAAGGAAAACCTTCTGGTCAACGAGGTACATGTAACTTGTTGGCCAGAAGGAAGACCTTCCAGGCAATTGTTGGCCTCCCCCTCCAACCGCCCTTGTGCAGGTGGCAGGTATCCAAAGATACCCACTTGGATACCCGCAAAGGTGGAGAGATACCCCCCAGCAGATGCGGATGGCAGTTTCCCTGGAAAAAGCAGCCAGATATCCGCATCCGCACCGATATCTGGATGCTCTGGGGCCATCTCTAATTCATGATCTCCTGCTCTGTGAGCAACAAGTTCTTGTAAGATGTCCATGCATCTCATAGATCACTTTGGCCAGCAACTCTGCCACCTCAACCAGTGCTGATCATTGTGTCAGCAGCAAATCTGAGAAAACATTTGCAGTTTCTTGGTGTTTGGATATGTCATTTCTTGAAGAATTGTTTGGAGTTTCATGATTGGTAGAAAGGCTTCTTTGGACAATTTGATTGATAGGTCAACAGATGCATTAGTTTTTGGCTTTTCAAGGGTCACTGGTGCAGATTCACAACCACTGAATACGCATACAAGATGCACCTTTTTATTGTACATGTCCTGATGTAGAAACCATCCCAATTCCGTGTATGGTTGGAAGCCAAAGTGGGTTTTTGTTCATCTGGGTCTACATTACCCACATATTTGGGGGGTTTTCAGGGTCCTATATAGAAGACCATCATTTTCTTGAAAAGATTGTAGGTTTTGACAAACAATTCACGAATAGATCATCAGAATATATTCTCTTGGGCATGGGAGGCCAAAAGGTGGAGCCTGTAGGACTGGATCTGCTTGCAACCTTGATCATGTGGTTTGAAGCTTGTGCATGTGTTGCAACAGAGCTTCCATTGGACTTTCAGGACCCCATCAATCCTCTTCTGGCCAGTTCAGGTTGTCTTTCCCCTTGATCTGTTGCAGTTTTGAATAAGTTGCTTTGTGTAATTTGTCAAACTTAACCAAGTCCCTCCTTGCCTGAGGCTTCTGCGCCGGAGGGACTTATGACTTATCAGGATTTCTGGCATGAGAGTTTTTTCAGTTTTGGTAGTATTCAACTTTGAGCCTCCAGAACACACCCAAGATGATACCTAGCTTCCTAATTTTTAAGTATGCTATTAGCCTACTTCTTTGCTTTATTCTGATACACTTTGAACCCACATCACCCATGTCTTCATGTCTTTTTTTTTCTAAAATTTTGGTTTTCTTGATTTTATTGATAACGTGACCAGATGACAAGACAATTGTCCGTGTGCACTCACCAAAACAAATGAAGTCCATTTCTTTTCCACATAAATCTTCTTAAATGTACAGTCAAGCTACAACAAATCAAAAAATATGTACATTGGAGGGAAGAAGGATGTGATCTAGGAAAAAAGAATCTTGGGGGTAGGGCTTGAAAGTTACCCAATCTAGTAGGATTGTAACAAAAAGAGCACTCAAATATCCGGAAGTCTCATGTCAGAAATCCTGACAAGGCAAGGAGGGACTTAGTTCAGTTTTGTAATTTGTGGGGCTCCAATACATCTGAGAATCCTTGCACTTTGTGGCTCCAATTGTGGGCTTGTTATGTAGTGGAGTCTTTTAGGTACACAATTGAAGGGGTGGATGGTATCATCTGATCTGTTAGTTGTGTTTATAGATGATTCCTCAAATCTTTGAGACCACCACATCTGCATATATTTTCCCATAGAGATCAAGCTGTTTTCTGTCAGTATCTGCCAATTATTTTGATAGATAAGTTGTGTATGATGATAGGAAGCTTTTTTACATACCTCCTTTGGACCAATGGTGTTGTTCTTCTGATCAAGATTGATTTTCAAGGCTGGAATCTGAGGATAATTAATCCTTGTTGCTTTCTTCTTCACCAGATTCTTCTCGGAAAGAATCTTTTCCTCATCATCTTCTTCTAAGAAAGAATCTTTTTTTAATTGTCTTCTTCTGAGGAATAATCTTTTCATCATCATCATCTTCTTCTTCTTCTTCTTCTTCTCTTTTTTTGATCAAGTTGTGAATCTTGTATGTACTTGGTGGACAATTATCAAAAGTTTTCAGGGCTGGAGGAGACTGGATGAGCATATATTTTGAGAGCAGCTTTATTGGTTTATCTACATACAAATGAAGCTTCATGGTCATCAGCACATCATGTATACAATTAGTGAAGGACAGTTGGACAGATCTCTCCATACCAATCAGAACAGTCTGATCATCTCATCACATACTCACTCAAACCAAATCCCTACATAGTTGGAGGGAGTGGACAACAGTCAACATACTCATGATCAATCAGTTCACTGCACACATTGCAATACTCATACGTCCATATGAACTTCCAAGGTTGGGTAAGGGTTTGGTGCTACCCACTGGCCCTGCACCAACTCACTAAATTTTGGTGATTGGGTATTGATTCTTGGGAGCTGAGAAGCTCAAGAAGGAAACAAAAATGTTTGCTGCAAGTTCTCTTTTTTTTCCTAATTTGCATAAACTTAAAGCATCTAGTAGTGCATTGGTTGAGCTAAAACCGAGTGAGGGTTGACTTGTCCACCCTATTTAGAATTGTTAAACTACAATAGTAACCACCTGTCAGCCACATTGGCAGTCGGTTGATTCCTGTTGAGTTGATCCAGTTTATGTGTAGCAACGGTGCCACAGATACGAGACATGTATTTGTATCGGATTGTATCGTATTTATTTTGAGCCTGATACCGGTATCAGTATTTCCTTGGTTGGTGAAAAAATACATTGTATCGGATTTGGATTTAAAAATGAAAAAAAAAAAAAATTGTCTTCGTTTTTTCTTCAATACAGCCAAATATCTTATGTATCAAATACGGTTTTGGTGGGATCAGTCATCTGAGACGATACAGAATACATTTCTCACTTTTCAAATACGATACATGTATATGTCTCAGGAAAGTGAGACAACACAAATCCGGTATTTTTGGGTATTCCAATTCTGAGACGATACAGATAAACGCCTGATACCGTATCGTATCGTCTCTGTGGCACCGTTGTGTGTAGGACTAGATGAAAAAGAAAAAAAAAAATTGAGGAGGAAAGGTTTTTACAGATCAGACAACCTTTGTTGGAATGGCTGTACATGTAGCACTTAAGGGTTAGCTGAAAGTTTGGCTGATAGCCAGGATAGCTCAATGTTAGCTTAACCCAGTGTGGTCAACATTGGTGGCTCAAGTCCTTAAGCCAACCAACAATGCAGCCACTCTTATATCTAATTTTCTGGAATTCATATGGGCTTCTGCTCCAAAGAAAATAAGATAAAATGAAGCCAAACCTCTAAAAGAGGGATTAATGCAAGAGCAACAGAAGTGAGCAGTCAGCTCCAAATGGATTATGCACTGACAGCTTGTTGAGAGCACCGATTAGATATGTTGACTAGATATCAAGATGGGGCAGTTTGTTGAGAGCACCAATCAGATATGTTGGCTAGATATTGAGATGGGGGTAATTGTCCTTCCAGATCAATGTCTGTTAAGTTCTGGAACAGGCTGGGATGGACTTCCAGGGTTTGTGACTTATATGTACCCCAAGGTGAGCATATAGCCCAGGGCCATTGTGATTGTCCGGTTGGCTGATCAAGGTTGGATAATCTGGCCATGATTGAATATTACAAAGCCCAGGGCCAAACGGTGAGACATAAGTTGTGTTGGGGCCTCGATCTCATCAGAGGATATCTCCCATGTTTGTTATTGGCTGGTGTGATTGGATGGTAGGGTTGTTCGGAGCTTGCGGAGTGGCTTGGATAGTCGCTCAAATCATTCCAGAGTTGTGGGCTTAGATATTGGCCCCAAAAAAATGAGCAAATTTGTTGTAAAAAAAAAAAATCAAATTTTTCAATGCTTGATGACTTACAATGCCTTCACAGGCTGTATCAAAAAATAACAGTCTTGTATCATAACCTTCGTTTTTTTTTATAGGTAAGGAGGTTATAGTAGTAGAAGTTAGATTTGTTTGTTTTTGTGTATTGCAAGTGTTTGATAGATCAGTGAAAAGAAAAGATTTCGAGGAAGCTGGGGTGGTTATAGAATCGATCAAGTAAGGGTATAACTTCTTTTTTTCTTGCTTGGAGCGAAGCCTCGAAGGTGGGTGAGGGTTTTTAACGAGGCTGATGTGGACGAGGTCTGGGGTTAAGACAATTTGGACATTGGCAATCCTCGTACAGATAAGGATCGACGACCTGCATCAATTTACTAACAGATGAGGAGAACGTATCGTTCCAAAGCTCGAACCATTCTCGATAACGGGTCTGTTTGGGGAACCCTTCACGATCCGAGTCGGGGATTTGGGAGATAAAGTAATCGACAACAATCATCGATTGACGGAATCCGACCTGAAGCTCGTCGACTAATAAGCTTAATTCCCAGCTGGTCATGCCTTCCTCTGTGATCGATGAATTCTCCAAATGTTCGTGGGATTCGGCTAACACTTTGTCGAGCACGTCCGGCAGTTCTCCTAATGCTGATAATTGAGACGAGGGCAAATGAGAGAATTTGTTGAGTCGTTTGTCGTTGTTTGAGAATTTAGGATCGGAGGCCAATTTTTTGAAGAACAGTCTCGAGAGTTTCATGATCGGTAGGAATGCTTTGGCCACTTTAATCGACGGATCGACTGGAGTATACGAACGACAAAGGACCGGATGAAGCTGGACTTTTTTGATCAAGTCTTCGTACGCTTTGTGAGTCTCTTCGATTGCCGGAACCAAGCCCGACCAACGAGATTGGATGTTATCCATATCAGAGCCTTGGATAAATCTGCGGATAGCCGCGATTTCAGTGGTCGCTTCGGCCGTGCAATCGAGCATCAATCCTCTGGCGGTAGAGACATCCATGATGTGGTCGGGAGGGTCGTTGGAGAAGGCCATCTCCTCGATAAGCTCGTAGGATTTGATGAATAGCTCGCAGATCATCGGGATCAAATAGACTTGGAAACCGTAGGCTAAGATGTAGAGTCGATAGGATTTGATCTCTTCTAGATCTGGATCGTTGGGTTCGGAGGTCGTGCATGCGTCCCGACAGATCTCTCGCTTGGCTTTCAGGACTCGGTCGATCGTCTTCTCTAGCTCATGTTGTCGTCTCCTGATCGTCTTCAGTTGTCTGTATGGCGCTTTGTTTAATTCGCTGGGCTCGAATAAGTCGGAAAACCCTTGGATTTCGAGGCTCAATTCGGGTAACAAAACCTCATCTAATCGTTCTAACAACTCTTTCTTCTTCTCGATTTCTTGATCCGTTATCTTGCTCTTTCGTGGACTCGTTTGTATGGGTGGATGATCCGGCCCGATATGATAATCATACTTATCTATGATTCCTCGAAACTTCGAGAGAACCCTGTCTACAGAAGTTTTTATGTTTCAAGAGGTTTTAAGGTGTCAGATTATGTAGTCTCTCATGATGGTTTTTCAAGCTTTCCAATGATACATACATACCTCCTTGGGCCCGATAACGGTGTACTTCCGATGGATTGTCTGCGATCGACTCGATGCTGGAATTGGAGTACTGGTCGAAATCTTCCGAGAACGACTGTTCTTCTATTTCGATCGGATTCATCATCTTGGGATGGGGGCGTTGTTTGTTTGGGGATTTGTGTTTTGTAGAGACTGGCTTGTGGATGTATAATGTATGAGCGACGTTGTCCACTTGAGCTCCTCGGTTTGTTTGTTTGTTCATAGGATTGGTTCATCCAAACTGGCTCACAAATTATTTGATCATCACTTCCATGGTCATCCCGGCCACCTCTTGGCTGGGTACAACATAGACTAAGACCGGCCATCCACAAACCTCGGCCGACAAAACCCAAAGAACATCATTCTTTTTTTTTTTGAAGAATGACAGAAATGCATAACAAACGAAAAAAGAGAAATGGATATCAAAGGATCCATCAAAAAGTATTTTATAGGGAAGGAAAGTCCTGTGCTCTTTGCAACCAGTAATGAGTCAACTGGTCAACAAGACGCTTCGGATTAGTCAAGAACATGGTCGACTCAGCTAATAGCTTGATCATCAGCACACCCCCAGCAGAAACACAACAACAGCATCATGAGCGCCAAGCTGCAGGTAGCTACTCAACTCTCCTGTGATCTTATTAATGCCCACTCATGACTGACGTGAATCATACACCAGAATTGGTGATGCAGGGCTTCAGCAAGTTGTTCATAAAGTGTGCTCCAATTACAATAACCGACCAGCCACAGGAAACGACGCGACGAGAGACTAGGTCGATGTCAAGCAAGCTCATCAACACAAAGAGGGAGCTACTAGAACGCTTGCAGACCACTCTTCTGCCTCGACTCCAGGGGCAAATGGAGCATCTTTCGGAGCTCTTCCTCATCCGACAGTTGAGCGATCTCCAGCCAGATTTACTCATCCAAAGGCAATCCGAGCTTGATCAGAGCTTGGATGAAATCCAAGCGGCCAGAACAACCTTGGCTCAAGAGCCATCTGCAAGCTTGATGAATAGCGATTCAGAGCTCGAAGGGATCAAGCGGTATAGACTCTCGATCCTTACCCGGCTCTTGGCCGTCGAACTCTTCTCCGTCCTCCGGGATCAATGCCAGGTCTCTTGCAAAACCATCCAACTATTTCTGACTAACGCAGCTAGAGGAAATCCGGGCCCACTCGGGGGCGCTTTCCTACACCAGGTGGTATCAGCCATTCGGCTCCGGGTGTTCAAGTCGATCAGCCACGCACTCGATCGCTCTGATTTCTGCATTCTCCAATGGCGTTGGCCCGCCGGCTTCCCGGTGATCGAGCAACACTTACATCAACACTTGAGGCTCATCAAAAGACAGGAAGACTGCTGGCTCGTCCATGATCCTGTGTCTAGTGACGAGCCTGCAACCGATTCTCTAGTTCCGCTGCAAAGAGCAATCGTGGCGCTCCTCAAGCTCGCTCGATTGTTCTACAAGAAGCTGTCTTCTGAGCGAGGCATCGGAAGACTAGAACGCTTCATGCCCCGGTTCTCTGGCTTGAGTTCTGCTCAATTGGCCACTCTCGGCGAATCGCCAAATCGGTTTTTCGCCCAACTCACAGCTTTGTACGAGCTTACACACGACGACTCTTCTTCCGAAGCCGAACGGGATGAAGAAGAAGAAGACCCGGATTCGATTTACCATCTGTCTCACCTCATCAGACAGATACAATCCAACTTCAGTGATGCATTGCGCATCGTAGAATACTTTATCACTCTTCTTCCTGTCTCAGCAGCAGGCTCAGCCTCATCATCAGACACCGACAGCCATCAAACTCAGTGTTATTTCAGGACTTGGTTCGAAAATTGGAACTCTTCGTTCACATTGGCCATCCATAACCTCAATGTCATTGTAAACGCCTTCATTGCGTCTGCAGAGTCTGGCTCAACGTAGACTCATCCCTGCATTCGATTTTCTTGAGAGGCCATCGGATTTGCACTCGTATGTACTCACCAAATCACTCATCATCAAGAATGCACAAATATCCCCTGATATTGTGACTAGATCAGGATCAGGCCTGGAGAAAGGGTGCCAAGATGGACAAAAAAGATTGTTGCAGGAAGTGCCCCACCCACCCCATCCCTGATCAGATAGAAAAAAAATCCCTCGAATCAATTTTGTTATAAAAGTAGATCTTGATCTGGTACTCTTTCATCAAAAGTTTTTGTTGCTGTTGTATGTAGATAGACATGAAGTTTCATTTCCAAAAAATAAATAAATAAATAAATAAATAAATGATTAGATGTTACAAGTCATTGAAGATCTGATATAATCAATCTGAGTGATTGAAGGTCCTTGTGTTGTGTTGGTATGAATGCTATAATGAAGGAGGGGGGATACATTGCAGATCAACCTGAGGTTCCTGAAAAACAAAAACAGTGTAAGTTGTCTTGAAAATGATAAACCATGTAGGTGATCACCAGTGAAACTTGATGATCACTAGATAACAGGTGACAACAGGCTAAGTTTAGCCTGCTACCCATCATCTACCCCCTTGGCAGTGATTACAGCCCCCTACAGAGGAAAAAGGGGCCATTGTAGCCACTGGTATTAAAACTTTAGTTGGAACAGAGCTAAGACCATTGTTGATCAATTTCATCTGTCAACAAGCAACTATTGTTTTCTCCTGGTGGATTGATGATAACAACAAAAAAGATAACTGATCTTCTGATTTTCTTGATTAGTTTAAAGATGCTAGCTTATGAAGACTAACTGTTTAGAAGACTTAGAAGACTCCCATTACCCTGTGGTAGCAACCTGTATGGTTTGATTAATTGCATGCAATTGAACAAGCCAACCAAGAATAATCAAGTAAAGACTCTCAAATTTTCTTTCCTCAACCATCAAATCCTCACCCATTTGTCTGTAATTAATTTAGTAGTTTTGATTTTTTTCAATTATTGATGATCCAAACCATGCCTTGCTCAAGCTTCCAGTTACAGCTTGGAATATTTTTCCTGGACATCATTGGTATTGAAATGTGATACTATTTCTCTCAAATTTCATCTCAGTTAGCCAGGAAGGATATCACACATTTTTATCCAATTCTTTTCATGAAGAATCACTGCTAAAAATGAACAGTACTCTTGAAAGAAAGAATAGATGGAAATAGGAAAGAGAAGTTGCAGTAGCTTTCATGAACAAGCAATCAACCATGATTCAGTATGGGATCTTCAAACAATCTCACATTCACATAGGAGCACTATCAGCAAGAAATGAGAACCAGAACAATATGCATAAGAAGATGATATAAGGATATGCATCACCTGTAAAAAAGAATCTATCTTGATTTATTTGAGCAAACTAAAGGTAGATCCAAAATATTTGTGCATTGATGAACCAGATAAAAAAACAAACAATCCAGAATAAGCAAAATACAATGAAATGATTGACATTTTACTGTAAGCAATGAAGGCTGGTATGCAATCTGAATTTGAGTGCTTCCTATTGAAATCTTCCAGTTCTATATATGTTTGCAGCTGCTTTCAAATCTTCCTTTTTTGAAGTGTCAAATTCAGTGGCTGCTACCATCACAGCGTCTGCGGTTTTCCATACAAGATGCCTCTCTTCGTTTGGTTCAAATTTGAAAGGGGCGGTAAAATCACTGGCGCTGAAAATGTACCAGGTGAATTCAGAATCATTTTTGCACTTCAAACTGGACATTTTTGTTTTTGGATCCACGCTAATCGTTCCAACTGGCGTCAGCTCCAAAGGTGAGTTAGATTGCCCTCCTGAAATGGAAATTGCTTTGAAGGCATAGTATGTTTTACCATTCACTGGTACTTTTTCCACTGAAAATGCATTGGAAATTAAGGAAACTATGACTAGGAAAATCAAGATTGCCCTCATGATTTTTTTATTGTCTTAGTTGATCTATAAAGTAGGATATTGGTTTCAAGATTCAAAGATTAGTCTGGAAGTAAAGCCTGCAGAGATTTGTGCGTTCAGTGACTGACAAGTCGGATTTTTAACTGTGTGGAAGTAGGATCAAAATCATATTCATCAGCAACAGTATCACAAAAAATTCAGATAAAAGTAATACATTGAGATTGATTCACTAAGACAAATCAGATAGGGGAATTCAACAATCAAATGAACTGTAATATGGAATGGAAACCAAGTTACCTGGTGTTTCGGTTAATGCAAGAATTTTAATGATCAAAATGATGCAACAAGCTTCCCTATGGGATTCAATGAATTTTTGCTGAGAAGAGGATCAAGAGAATCAGAATTCAGTGCTGATATCTCATTGGCAAAAATTGATCAAATAGGCTACCCAAGAAAATTTTATGGAATAAAAGAAGATATAAAGAAGGAACTACCTGGTGTTTTTCTTGAATAAATAAAAAAGGAATGATTCTTGAACACTAAGTCAAAGGAGATTCCCTGTGGGAAATATATAAATTTTGGAGGTAAACAGAGGAGCTTTTATAGAGAAGATGAATCAATGCCATGGTACCAAGATAAACTATGTATAAGTTGATGAAACAGGTTGATATGCTTCAAGAAAATATATTTTATCAAGGTACATAAGATATCTTCAGCTTTTGATTCAGTCAATAATTTAAATTTGATTCAACCCTAAACAAGTATCAGAAAAGTGTCAATCAAATGCAATTAAAATCCGGAAGAAATAGGATAAAAAGAAATATTCTTATCAAGGTTTGACAAACCAGTGAAAGAAACATTTAGTCCAATTTCAAGGGTTGTTGATTCAGGGATCTTATGTTGATTTGGATGAATTCCAACTCAAACTTGTAATCACTCATTCAGTCAGAATCTAAACTGAAATCAGAAGACCAATAACAATTTTAGTGAATGTTTTGAACTGTTTTGAAACCCTTTACAGGGCTCAAGAAAGACATGTGAAGGAGCTTTGACATTGCTGAGTTGAGACACAGCTGAAAACGACAATGTGAACAAATGTTTTACCTGTATCATACTGTTTAGAAAATTCAATCAAGCTAGGATTTTATGTGTGTATTCCTGATCCCCAGGTTTTAGCCTATGGGACAACCAATCATTAAAACAGTAGAACAGCAAAGACCGTTGCAGTATTGTAATGGCAGGTTTCTATTATCAACTATGTTAAAGGGTCCCCTATCAGTAGCATAGCAGCACAAAGAAATCCCCCTTGATGATTTATTTTTAGCTGTGCTACACTAACAATATGGTGCATCACACCACCACCTTTTCCCAGAAAACCCCTCCAAAAAGCAGTATAATGATGTTTGAGGGCTGCATATTTGCTTCTGGGCTGTCAGCATCAGTGTGATACCAACAACAGCTAACTGATAGTGTTAGCAGTATTCTGCTGTACTGTGCTTTGATATTACTAATGATATGGCAACAAAATCATTGCTTACCCAATACCTGAACTCAGAAGCATATGAATTGTATTGCATTGGGTTGACCAATACACCCATTCAAAACAAAACACTATTGCCTTGTTTTGGGCAAGAAAAAAAAATCCAGTACAGGTGTTTAAACAATCCTGTCTGAGTCATTTGAAATTTGAGTTCAGGAAAATTTAGGCAAAATGTATCATCAACGTCCTTTCTGAAAATTGGGGGGAAGAGGGAATTGTTTCTGCATGTTGACACATATGAAATGGACAAGTTTCACCAGAAGTGTTTTTCAACTTCTTGAGAGTTAATTATGTTTTTTAAATAGGATAATAAAACAAGCAAAATCAATCCTTGATCAGTAAAAGTAAACTTTGAGCTTAATTCAAAGATTGAATTTGATGTTTCAGGGTTTCCATATTGATTTGGTTGAATTGGAACTATAAAGTGGAAAACTATAAATTAAATTGAATTCAAAGCTTGCATACACTCAGTAAGATCAATATCAGAAGTGTGTGTGAGGTTTATTCCCTTGATCATTTTCCAGGTTTTGTATATAACTGTTTTGTAGCTTTGGAACTCTTGACAGGATTTTAATCAACATATTCTAAGTCCTGCTTGGAAGTGTTATATTGAAAATTCTTGTGAGATCTAATAAATTTTTTGGTGGAGTTGAAAAGATTTCAGGCAAAAATGATCACATATCCCCTGCAATAAATCACTGGAAAATGGGGCTTTAGAGTTGATCTCATACCAAATGGGGTTGTAGAGTTGATGTCATACTGATTTGGGATATTTGAAACTAAATTTCAGGAAACATTTTGGTTGAGAGATTCATCAAGCTTTCTGACACTGGGTGGAAGAGGGGGGGGTCTGAGATCTAGACAATTTTATGACAGCTTTTACAGAGAATGTGGAAATGAAGATGTGTGAGGTGATATTTGAACAGAAAACCTCAGCAATGCTGATACACATATCAGGGTGATGCCCCTAATTATGTTGGTCATTTTCTTGTTGCTCCATTCAATTCAACATCATGTTACTTTCAATGGGTTTTCATGTGCAATCACTGTGCCTACTGTGACATTCACATGCTTGGATTTGTGTGGATGTTGCTTACTTACACAAGGAGTGAAACCCAAATGACCATGGTGTATACCAACACAGCCAGACAATAGGTGAAAAAAATCTGATGTTGCCACAGTGACATTTTTTGTTCAAATTTTGTCACACGCAAGAAAAAATCACTGCAAAAAAAATCCCAATTTTTGTCACCTGCTTGTGCCGTGGGCTGTGCAACTAGAATGAACACCACAGCCAGTTGGGTGTTTCTGGTCATGTAAGTGACATCTGGAAAAACCTGAGAGCATAAATGCACCAGTAAATTAAACAGTGACTGTGCCTGAAATTCCATTGATTCAAATTGTGTGGACTGAAAAGCAAATAAACATGGTGTGTAGATGTGTACGGCTTTCAGGGCTGTCAGGTGGTATTGCCCATAGCTCAATCCAACAGCTCCTCTTTACTGTGGTGATAAATCATGGTATACTATCATACATCTCAAGACATTCATTTCAAGATATATTTCACAGGTGGACAAGAGTTTGATTTATAGCCAAAAAAATCATCTTATCAAGGCTCATCCAAATACTGAATACAAAATTTGAGCCAAGTGAAAATTTGATTGATAATTTGTTTCAATTATTATTCAATATCAGCAAACAAGTAAGTCTAAATCAGATGTAGGAGCGTTGTAAGACTCAAAAGTGGTTGTGAAACCCTTTTGCTGAATGGAGAAGGGTATGTTGGAGTTGCAAGCTCTGCCCTTCTATACTATCAGAATAACAAGACCACCAAGCTCAGCTTGGCAATTTTATATATAGTGATAGGGATAAGTTCAAGATGAAGCTGCCGATTGATATGTGTGAGGGTATAAAGATGTTATTGACTGTTGGTTATATTGATGAAGTTTGTTGTTGATGAATATGGTTCAGGGCACTTTTTGTTTATGATGATGATGAAAGTGTTAAATCTGTATTTCAATGTGTATAAATCTGTAATTGTAATAAGGCTATGACTTGTAGTTATGAAATAATATATAAGATGTATTTATTTATAAGGGTGGTTGAGATGATCTGGTCCACTGGTGGGATGATGGATGGAACAACTGGCAGGCAGAGGCCTCCTTATATAGACAAATGTGAGGGATTTTGGCCCCAGGGTACAGGCTGAAAGATACTACTACCAAGGGATGCATATAAATGAATAAAGGGACGCATATGTATGATCAAAGGGATGCATACATGCAATATCACTAATACAAAGGGATTCAAAACAACGTAAAGGTATTCAATTTACTACAAAGTAATCCAGTATGCAATATGCATCCTGTATTCATAATGGCTATGGCTAGAGTGCAGAATCCAAGAAATATCCCGTGACAGGTTGAAATCTGTGTAACTTCTAAACTATAAGAGATAAGGGTATGGTTGTAGTGGGTGACTAGGGGTTATTTTACCTGAGGATTCCATTTTTGATGTAATTTTTACCCTATCTTGAATGTATAAAGAGATAATAAGAGATTTTTATATTTTCTGCGTAGAAACACAGTATTATTTACCACAGCGTAGACTGGGTAATTGGTATGGATTACCGTAGGTGTGGCCCAGAGGAGACGTCTATTCTGGCTTGCTGAGCCGCAGCCGAGTCACATTATGTGGCCTAGGTCACAACATCTGCAGATGATTTTGTATCATATCTTTTTTTGATATATCAAAAAATTTGTACATATTGTGTATTGTATCTCAAATCAGATATGATACAATTGTATTCACAAAACCACTACACATTTTTTTCCCAATTTGGACTGTTTGAAACAAAACATTTTGGAAGATACAAAAAGATACTTTGGAAATGTCCTCATCATTGAGTAAATTGACATTGGTTGAAAGGACTGTGACCAATTGGAGTCAAGAGTCTGTCAAAAATTGTCCACTCCAGACCTGGGAAACCTTTAAGGATTTCAAACTATCACAGCACGTTCAAAGCTTGTTTTGTCATGATGCAGCCCATCCTCAAATCTTAGAGGAAACTGGGCAACCTTTGATTGATCTGTTAGATTCACAAGTGAGCAAAACCTTTGTTGCTGAGTTTTTTGGGTAGAGGCTGATTGGATGATGATGGCAGATTGGGAATATGTAGTTGATATTATATGAGTCAGGATGAGAACAGGTGTTAGAAGAGCTAGTGTTAATTGTCCATGCGGCTAATTCAAAAGTCCAGAAGATCAGCCGGCCAGGGATGTCCTTGTTGACCCAACTGAATATTTGTATGTACAATTTCATTCATTTATTACATACATACAGGAAATTTGACTCTCCCAAAAAGAGCTTGATTAGGGGTTACAATAAACAAAAAAAAAAACAGTAAGCTTGCAACACAGACTACAGTCTGAAAAGTGTGTGATAAGTTACAAGCCAAGATGATTACATTTCTGTTTTTATTGTGATATGGCACATGGAAAAAAGGATAGGGGGTAGGAAAGGGAAATCATGGTACAGGTAATCAGATAAGTTGAATGTCAATTTTTTGGGTTTATTAGGGTTGATTAGCATTATCATCTGATGTGTAGATAAATACATTAAAATGATCAAGGTTAGGTGGCACATCCTTTGCCTTGCCTCTCATCCTGTTGATGTGATGAAATGATGGCTTTTGAGATTGGGTCACTTAGGGAAAAACCCTTTCTTGATGAGCAGGTTCATTGCTGGAGTTGGACTGAAATCATTTTCAAAAAGAGTAGCATCCCCCCATCCTAAAAATAAATAAATAAATCAGTTCCAGACACTTCAAACACTTCTTGCATGGTCAATCTGAATAAGTCTGACCTGGGTCTTTGGTGAGCCCCACCCAGGAGTCAGCAGGGGTTAATCCCCAAGATGTAACTGATACACATCCCGTAACATTCCTACATGTCTCATAAAAGAATCCATAATCTCTTGTTTTTGCTGCTGTGTCTGTTGGGCTGGCCCGCGGCTGGCCATTCAACTGACTCCGGATATCGATTTCAGTCAGGGCTACCTTCAAGCCTTAAAGTTCCAATCAGTTGATAAATCAGCACAAAATCCTAGATTTTTTTTTTAATATTGAGGTTCACAATTTGACTTCACCCAGTTCAAGTGTGATCAAATCAATGAAGAAACAAATACAGCTTTTAGCTGAAAATATGACCCACCTACTGCTGTAAAACGCTCCAGATTTTTCTGCAAGACTGAAAGCAAAGTTAATTGGCAACCATCCAGTTATCAGTTTTGGACAAAGCTATTAATGCAGAAGACAGCTTGATTGTGTGCATACCTTTACGTGGGATATGACCTGCAGGAAAGTGACATTGGAATCCTACAGCATCCAAAAGCTTTTGCTTGTGAAGCCTGGTAGCTATTGCAAGCATGGCATTTGACTTGGGGTTTATATGCTCAATCCCCACCTCATTAACTGTGCCAAAGTCAGATCCAAGAAGTGTTTAGTTAAGTCCTCCTCATGAACAGCTAAAGATTATGACAAATTTGAGGAAGTAGAAATGATTTACTGAAGAGCAACATCTGTGGAGCGTACTGATCACGGTATTTCTTAGCCATTTGAAACGCTTCTTCATACCAATTGTCACCTAGGATTCGCTTGAAGGGGAGGTTGTCCGGGTTTCCATTGTTGTCCAGGATCTCATTACACACATCCATCGCCTCCGCCTTTGCACCATATCTCTTGATTACTATTCCTAAGATATTGTCCATTTTCATTCTCAAATAGTTTTTGTCGACACTCTCAATCCAGCCTGGATATTGTGACCGACTGCAACAAAAATCCAGATGTCTTAGCTGGAAAGAAAAGGAAGAAACCCAAGAATAACAGAATCATGAGAGATCAGATGTTGGATAGAAGAGACATACGCAAACATAGTGTGCAAGCGAAGCTGTTTGTTGGTACTCGTGACGTATTGTAGGAATTGATCACTAAATGTTACCCATGAAAATTTAGTATTTTTAATTTTGAACACTTTTTGAAGGATAATCCACACGGAAGAGCAGGGAAAAGCGGAAAATATAAGAACGGCTTTGGGACGAACGCATCGGCAGTTTTGACCGGGGCATTCGGATTTTCCTCCAGGGAACCCCATTTTAATTCTGTGATATGTAAGATTTCGAGCACAACAACAACAAGAAGAAACCGAAAACGAAAAAAAGGAGAAAAGGTTACACTTTTAAGCACCAGAAAGTTGTCAGAGAAAAAGAGAGCATTTACTGACCATTTTGGGGCGTGATGACTGAGAAATATTTAGTGACTAGAGCTTTATACGTAGGATTATTCATACTGTCTCCCCTACTACCGATTCCCATCAGCGGTTTATTGACGATCGGGGCTGTGGGACTGGTCGTGCTAGCTAGTCGTCTTGGCCCTCTACCAGTCGGCTTCGGATCTGGGGCTGCTATAAACCATAACCGCGAGAAATTAAACAGTAGTACGAATAAGACACCGTGCTGCATGGTGCCCGGTGGCAATCTTGATTGGCTGAGAATTTGTGATCTGTAATTTGCTTGATTAGAATCTGGATATTATTTTTGTTCCTTTGATTATGATGAGATTAGATATAACAGATGAAGCTGCTTTGCTTCAATTTGAATGGGATTAGATGGATGTAAGTGGTGAAGATGGAAACACTGATGTAGAACAATAATTTGCACAGTCGATTGAAGACAGTACAAGAAGGACGAAATGTCGGATGCAGGAGGGCAATTTTAAAGATTTTGGGTCTCAGCACGGGGTAATAAAGGCACAATTGTGAAGCCATCAAGATACAGCAGCCGGCCAGAGACTGTCACTCTCTCCTTCGCCATACCCGCATCACGGGGACCACCAGAGATCCCGGTTGGCAATCCTCGATAATGAAATATTGGAATTGGTTCTATGTAGGTTGTGGTGACCGAATGTAAGCACCACATCGGACTCCATACCAGGCGTAGGTTGTCGTCCAAGCTGTAGGCGGGCACATTATGTAGTTGGAGATGGAGTGTTGTTAGGGGGACCTTTGAAATTGACGCGATGGCCATCAATTGTGACATCATGGTGCTAGGGGGGGCCTCGTGGATTGCGAAACCCCCCGCGGCTGTATGCTTGTGGACCGGGGGGTGGCAGCATATTGCATATTCAATATGGAGTTCTAACAAACCAGCACCACAAAAAATAAAAAAACAAAAACCCAAGAAATGAGAAAGTTGAAACCAACAACAACAAACCAGGAAAGATGTTTTCAGTCAACCGATTCGACCCAAACCAACATCAGCAGCAACCAAGCCAAGAAGATAATGATAAACAGACATTCAACCCACTCTCAAGACTCAACCAACGACTCCAAGCTAAGAACCTATCAGTATCAACAGTAGAAGCAAGCACAGAGATAGAAGCAAGCACAGAAAAACCAGTCGAACCAAAAACCACTCAAACAACAACCATCAACAATATCCATGTCGACAGACTATATAACGACGAGAAATACGAACCCTCACTAGATCTAACTCAACCACTGACCAAGAAGCAAAAGGCTCGTCTACAGCTTGGTTTCACCGGCGCAAATACCATCCCCCTACCATCCTCAGAACCACCCAAACCGAAGTCAAGCGCAAAACTGAAATACCTCAAACGGAAGAAGGATCGCAAGAAATCTAGGAAAAGAACTAGTACGACATCTGCTGAAACCAAGAAAACTATCAAACAGGAACCATCTCAATCTACTCCAGCCGATCATCAAACCCCTCAACCTGAGAACCACCCCAGCTCATCCTCAAATCCACCTCCTGTAACCACCACTGATCATGATCCCTCAACCACAAGCCTTCAAGAACCATCATCAGAGAAACCTAAACGAGCAAAACGACCTAAAAATTTGGACGTTGCCCTGGAGAAAATTTCGAAAAAGAAGAAGAGGAATCGAGAAATAACATCAGTAGAACAAGAGGAAGGAAACGCGTCGGAGGCAGCAACTGCTGAGGATCCAGAAGTTCAACAAACGGCCCTTGTCGAGGAGATCAGCCAACCAGGCGCGCTTCCCCGCTTCCCAGCACCTACCAATCCGTCCCTACCTGACCCTCAGCTGTTGGCCCGATTGGCCATGGGATTGGGAGACCCAGACCCTTCAGAAATCGCCGAATCCGAACACGATAACAGCATGATCCAGTTCGATAGCGCCTCCACTCTCCCCTTGTCTCAGCTCGAATCTAGGGCCTCCTCCCCTGGCCAATTTATTCAATCCCTCTCTCTCAGTAGCCAATCTATCTCCCGATTGAAACAACTCGAATTCGAAAATCTTCTTGCTGGTAATCTCTCACTCTCCCGTTTCCTCTATCGGCCCATTTTGACTGACTTTGCCTGTGTTTCGATTAGTCCAAATCGCCGTCTTCTCACTCCTAATGCCTCCTCTTAGCGCCTACTCAAATACACCCGCCTCTAGCTTGTACCCCACTCGAAGACCACCTAGGGATCTATGTGTCAGCGCTCCAACTGGTTCTGGAAAAACGCTGAGCTATATTGTGCCGATCGTCGAGGTGAGTACAAACCCACCAAAAGATTCATGATATATACCTCACTCGGATCTAATTTGTTCTACACATTCATCTTTAGACTCTGTCTTCCCGTGTCGTTTGTCGTCTACGTGCATTAATTGTCTTACCCACCCGAGACCTCGTCCTACAAGTGAAGAATACATTTGATTGTTTTTCTAAAGGAACAGGCTTGAAGGTAATCTATTTTTTTTCCTTCGCCGGGTCCTAGAGGAACATACTGACATGATTCTCTTCGATGCACTTAGGCAGCAATTATTACTGGACAACATTCATTTACGAAGGAACAAGCTCAACTCGGCTGTTCTCGGGACGGATTAGAAGGCTCAGTAGATGTCTTGATCGCGACGCCAGGAAGGCTGGTCGACCATCTCAACCACACCTCCGGGTTCTCGCTCCAACATCTTTGCTTTCTGGTCAGTCAACCCCTCCCCTCCTCCCAAAACAAAACAGATGGAATTGGACGACTTACTCAGTCCTAAGTTTTTCAAAGTTAGGTGCTCGATGAAGCCGATCAACTCCTCAATAAATCTCAGGCCTGGTTGCATCAAGTTTTGTCTACCTCTGCCGCTTCTGAAGTTCCCAAACCAATGGAACATACCGAGCCTATCAAATCTTCTTTCAATCACCCTAAATCGCTGCTTGGTTTTCGATCGTCTGAGCCTTTCGAACCCTCTCACCTTCTCGATGGACCTCTATCTACTGTCGAAATGCACAATCAAGATCATGGTCTGACTGAAAACCTGCCCATCGAGACGTATAACCCGTGTCGGTTACGTCCTGTGAGCGGCGTTTGCCCCCCTTTAAATGAAGACAAAAACTCGTTTCATCAGAGGCTGACTGTGTTCTCTGGTGTCTATCAACTTGGCAGTTCCGGATTCTATTGTTTTCAGCTACTCTGAGACGGGATCCAGTCAAGCTTGCTCATCTCGGTCTCCGTCATCCGGTCTTTGTGAAAATCTCTTCCTCTTCCACTACCTTGGTTGTCGACGGCGACCTGGATCAAACTCGTCGAGAAAGTGGGACAATCGATTTTGTCGATCAATTGAACGGTTACTGTTTACCCAAAACTTTGAAGGTTCGTCTTCAGTTTCGGTTTCTTGGTCATTGGAAGATCAAACCGTTTGCTGATTTTTTTTTTTTCAATGAAATGATTCATGTTGATTATAGCAATACCTTATTGTGACAAGGACGGATTTGAAGCCATTGGTGTTCTTCAAATTGCTGCAGTCACAACGGATTGAAAAAGCTTTGTGTTTCTGTAAATCGATCGATGGTGCGCGTCGATTGACCGGGCTTTGTCGGCTCATGGCCGAGCAGTTCCAAGCCCTAAAATCTCCGAATTCTGACGACCCCGAATCGAATCCCAAGCAGAAAGATCAAGATCAAAAGGATCAAAAGGATGATGTGGATCTTGTGAAGTTGTGTAAAGTTGAATGCTTCTCCAGTGATCTGAGTCCAGTCGAACGTAAAAAACTGCTGAATAAATTTCAATCGGGTGAAATCAACATGTAAGGTTTTTTTTGTAGCAAATGACAAATTGAGCATCGTACTAATGAAGGCAAAGCAAAAAAAAAATGTTATAGGTTAATATGTTCGGATATCATTGCCCGAGGGATCGACATAACGGGGGTGCAGAATGTGATCAACTACGACTCGCCGATCGACATCAAGAAGTATGTGCATCGAGTGGGCCGGACGGCGCGCGCGAACGAGCATGGTCGGGCGTTCAGTCTCGTCGAATCTCAGGAGGCTAAGTTCGTCAAGGCGTTCTTGAAGACCGGGTTCGGCTCGCTCGCCCCCGAGCAACAGTTGGCTAGGATTCGGATCGATTGGCTAGACCTTCAAGCTCTCTTGCCGTCTTATAACGTTCGTCTTTTCGTTTTTTTTACCTTTCTCTCCTCCTTTTTCTTTATTTGCTTACGGTTTTTTGTTTGTTGGGTGTCGGTGGTCTTAGATCGCTTTGAAAAAATTGGGCGACTTATTTGGAAGATCGATCGATTTATGATCTTGATACATCAAATCTATTTCCATCGAGACATATTAGAGATCTGTTATCCACATAACATATCATACACAAATATACATTCACTTCATTGCATGTTTACTATTCATTTAGTTGAACGAGTTTGTTGGGGAAGTTTTATGGGCTTGATATATACTTCTTGAAATCACCTCTTTTTTGGACATCCATCTTCTTCCGTTTCCCTCCTGCTATATTTCCCCCAAGTCACAGTGGACCGCCTCGCACGCGCCCCCTTGCCCCGCACAAAATGATGAAAAAAAGCGGGGGAGGGGGGGGGGGGGCGCACTACTAACCCTAGCTTTTTTGGGGGGGTCCTCCATCTGCAGCCCATGGAAGCTTGCAGTTTCTTTTTAACTCAATATATTATCGTCCCCAAAGGCTGGTGATCCCTGGCCCCAATACTGCAAGTGCAAAATTTAGTCAGTCGGTGGTGCCAGGGAAAGAGATGACCAGGAGAAATCTGTTCTCACTAGATGTCAAGTGACATCATGTAATGTTGATTGCTGCTCCCATGTAGCTCTTTAACTCTGTTGTGAGCCAACTACAATGGCCCCTTTGTGTGGTACAGGGGGCTGAGGCAGAGTTGAGCTGGATATGTAATGGGCAGTACATTAGAGTTAGCTTGATGTCACTTGTCATCAAGTGTTCATTGTTCTTTTCTGGTGGATGTTTGGGCCAATTCTGAAAATAAAAAATCTGTGGAAAGGTTTTGAGTAACCAAGCCCCTAATGCACCTGCACATGATTCATACAACTCAAACAATACACATCCTACAACTGATTTTTCTGGAAAAATCAAACTTAGAATTGTAGCTCTTCAGTTGTTATGTCTGAGGAATTGATCTGTGTTATACATAAATGCTTTATTCCCCACATATATGAAAATCCCTTCAAGCTGTGTATCTAACAGAATTCAAAATAGCACTTGGATCAGTGGCCATGTTACAAACTTGTTTGACCATAAGTAGTGGAAAAAATTGAAATTATTCCATTGGTTTGAGATTTATTTCAAATTTCATCTATGTCAAAATTTCCCAATATTGTGGCAGAAAATCACTCTCTTTATCCCACTTCTTTTGCCATGAAGATAAGACTTGGAAACATCACTCTACTAGTGTTGCTTACATGGCTCAGACTGCTTCAAATCCAATGTTATATGGAGATGACCCATATAATTCCCAAAGAAAATGCTAGGGTGTTGGAAGGAAGTATGAAATTTATCAGGGCTTTTCAATGCAAAGTAACATTGCTGACATGCTGACCATCTTTAATACTGACTTCTTTTGATGAATGTAATAGTCAGAAATAGACACAGGCCCACTAAACATGAGACAGATATAAACCAAGGTGATTGGAGATCTCTATCCAACTGCTTTCTGGAAGCTCCAAGGTTTCAGAATGAAGAAATTATGCATGAATACCTTTCTGTTGTACTTACATTAGGTAAAAAGAATACTGGATTGGTCAAAGATTGTAAGCCTCAACAATCAATTAATGAAAATTATACCAGACCCTGAAATAAATAAATTATTGATGTTCATTCATAGAGTTCAAGATTAATGATCCCATCTATCAGAATGAAGGTAGCTATTTATTTTTATCCTAAGGCATTTCCAGAAGGAAAGTTGTTGACTTTCCTTGATAGTCTTGATAAATTTGATGAAGGAAGATCTGCTTTCCCTGAAATCAGAGATACCAAAAATTATAAAGGTGGCCAATGATTCACAAAAGCCATACCACAGGAATTATCATGGGATGGAACCTCTGATTGCATGTGCAGAAAAATTGAATTCGATTTATGATCTCCTGATACCCTGCATAAGAAATCTGGATTTTTACTTGGAAGGGTCTGATTTGATAATATCCCCCAACAGAAAATCAAATCAGTCAACCAAAAAAAGGTATGCTCCATTGAATTTTCCATATTGGATCATTTCAAAAAAAATAACACACACACACAGGGGATATTGAACTTGTAACTTGTTCCAAATTCAGAGAGTTTAGTGGCATGAAAATGGATTTGGAGTTGATTGAGAAGAACAAATCATTCAAACCAACTGTGAATGAAGAAATTTTACAAGAAGTCATCATCAAATTGAACAACGTATTGCATAAACTTCCAGTTCCCAGCAGATCAGGACCTGAGTACTCTGCTCTTCAGACACTCATATTTCACACAGTAGACTATCTATACAAGTATGAGCTGATTACAGCAAAGGCTTACCAGTCTTTCTGCCAAAAACCAGGTACTGAGGAATATGCAGCCTACAATATGTTCTGGTACTTTTATTATTTTAAACACCCTTTGATGGAGAAATATTGGCCTTCAATTGATGTGAAAACTATTTTCCAAGGGAGGGATTCATCACCTTACAGGAATATGTTTGCCTGTAGGTTCATGTACCAGTTTGAAACCTACAAATTGAAGCTGATGATTTTGATTCCATGCTTACCAAATTTCAAATGTTTGGTTTTATGAAGTCTTCAACCCTAGACAGAAGAGGTTTTTCACATTCTTATCAATGAAACTACAAGTGACACGTTCCCCACAGGGTCCATTCAGCTTTTTTGCAGGATCAAGTAGTGTATTCTTAGATTTGGAACGCTTCCTTTTCAGGAACAATCAACTTTTCCATTTACTCGAAAGAGATTACTCAAGAATCAGCTCAGAAGATGGACTGGAAAAAGTGAAATTTTACCTCCAGAAAGCAATGCAAACTTTCACAAACTTCCACTCCTACTTTGGACATTTCTATGATGGTAATCTGGGCTTGATCTCCCAGATTTTTGACTTTATTCAGAAAACCTATGGCAGAGAGATACCAGGAATATACCAAGAAATCAGAGGTTTTGAGGAGAAATTCAATCTGATCTCTTCAAGCAACAACCTGATTTATGAGGTAGAAAGGATATTCCAATATCTGCATGAAGAATTCCCTCAAATAGATCAATGGCCCTCTGGATCAATGATGTATGATTGTAACAATGATCAAATTCCTCATCCAGAGAAGCTTGAGTTGATTTCAAATCATGTCCAAAAGCTGTCACTCAAGAATCAAGAATTGAGCAACAGAATTGGGAAGCCACTTGATTCCTATTCACAGTTCCAGGAGATTCAGTGGAGGATACAAGCAGTAAACAGGAAAATATCTGATCTGAAACAAATCTATAAAATTCTTTCTTGGTGTGATTTCACTCATCTGAATGGAATCAATCAAAATTCACATCTCAAAACTGAATGACTGATAGTAAATAGCACTTTTAACAAGACATTTGAAGGCAAACATCACATTTGAAGGCAATGTCCAACATTTCATCCCTCACGGAACTGTTCAACTCAATCCATTAATTCAGAGGCCGTTGAGATTTGATTAGTCCAATCTTCCAAATGTCATGAGTTCTTTGTGTAGTTTACTTGAGCTTGGTTGATTCAACAATCAATTCAAGTGAACATTTGTTTCTCTGTATGATTGACTACTTGTGTCATTTCAGTTGTTTTCACTCATATACATAACTAATTTCCCTTTGATTGCATGGATAGTAGAAGGTTTATACAGAGAAATTCAAATTAGGTGTGACTTATCATCAAAGGTCTTGTATGGCTGGAATCCCATCATCATCATCCTGGCAATACTGTAAGCAGTTGAGTGGGAGTTTATTTGACACATCATGTGAAGATTCCCTTCAACTTCTCTTTTGTGAAGTTTTGATTAGATGGCTACAGAAAAAAGTAAGCCAGGTTGATGATACCAACACAAGGTCCAGGAATCAACATAGATGCGAGCATGCCAGATACTATGCATAAACCAAACAGACTCCAAGAATCAAGATGATGTTATGCGATTAAGATGAAGGACAGCCACGACTTGTTCAAGAATCAGAAAAGGGGGGAGGATTCTAAAATTTGAATGTCCACTTTTATCTTCGCTTATAGATACACGGTTTGAGCAGCTTTTGGCCGGTTTGAATCAGTTCAAGTTTGGATTGAGGGTTCAACAGATCAACCGAAGATGAGTCTCGCTGATTCTTGGCCAGAGTCAGAGGAAGTTTCTTGAATTTGAATAGGATGAAGTGGGTGTTTGATTGATCCTATTGAATTTTGTTGGAAAAAAAATAAGCGAGAAAACGATAGATCAGTCAGGTTGCAGCGGGGGAATACTTTCGCAATGAGTGGTCTTACTTTAGTGGGATTCGAGAACCCGATCGATTTAATAAAGGTGACAAAAAGATCAACATCGACGAACCGACTAGTCACTTCTGCAATCCGAAGTTCCCCACTACATAATTCAATTTGTTATGAATTTGTTTTTAGTTAGAGTAAGTAGCAGGAACGGAACAAAAAAACAAAGGAGATGGGAGTAAGGATGTGTGCTTAACTCGTGCTTGAGGATCCGACGAGCTTCCAGAATCATCCCGACCCAATTCGTACTCATTAGGCTCAAACAACACACCACTATGTCCATCATCCCGTTCCCGACTCGATCATCCAATGAGCCTGGTAATGGAACCTGGATAATGTCGGGCATCCGGAGTAAGTTCATCTGCTGCTCGTCGTTTGGATCTATTTCTTTTTTTGGGAGATATCTGGAAGCTCAACTAGACTAGAACATTCAGCCACTGTGATCCACCCTTCACGATCGGCGACGAGATCGTAACTGAAGACTTTGAATTGATTGTGATGAGCGATTGGTTTAGAATTTTTCTGATTTGAGCTTGAGGTTGACGGAGATGAGCACAACAATTTAGCCAGAGGGGCTTCTCCACAGCCTAGATCGGCGACCAGAACCGGGCCGGGAATTTTCTGGAGATGCGGGTCTTGTTGGAGCTGATGGGCGATAAGATCGACGGGGTTCTGGGGCCAATGTTTGGTTTGAGAGCGGAAGCCGAGATGATAGATCTCGAAATTCGGGTTCTCTTCCCGTCTGATCCTGTGCTCTCCTCCGCCTTCTTCTTCTTCGTCATCTGCTGCTGCTTCGATGGGATTTGATTGGAATAGTTTGAGTGCTTCTGGGCCGGTTGAGGTGTACAGTGTCTCGTTCAAAATCCGAAATCGGGAGCCATTCAAGTTCGAATTCAATAATCCTTTGGCCAGTTGATGCGTTCCCACATGGAGTGTCTCGTTGGGCTGGTTTTTTGTAGGTTGTTGTTGTTGCTGCTGTTTGTTATTGTGTGGATGTGAGTTTTTGAGTCTTTTGGGACTGGGCGAGTCTTCCTGTTGCTGTTCCGATGATGATGGTCGCTCAGTCGTTGGTTTGTTCCTATTCTTCTTCCGTTTGGCTTTCTTCTCCGAGTTGATGTTCTCCTTTGGTATCGTCCATCCAGGTGTATCGAACAGTAACTTGTTGGTTGGCTTCTTCATCTCGTATCTCCCACACTGGCTTACCATTTTCTCCTCCTGGTGACTTTGAAAATGCAAATTTCTCATTTTGAATATGCATCTCCAGCAGCAGCGGGGGTCCGACGGGCACTCAACAAACCCCTGTCTCACTCGCAAATTCATATCAAGTTATCAACCCCCCGGATTGGCACATGCCCCATTGGCCTCTTGAGACCATTTAAGTTTATGATAGTCTCATTGAATGGACCAAGAACTGGAACAAGTTGCAGAGGAAGAAGGTAACCAAGACTGCCTGACTTGACTCGTCCTCAGAGCACCTCGACGCCACATGTTCCTTTCTGGAGCATCCTCCCATTCCCAATATTGGGATCGGAGGCTTGCTTTGCACCAGTCTGACTATATCATCCCCACCGATCGAGGGGCACGTGTTAGGTTTTTTGCGCCCCCTGCCTCCGGCACGTGAGTCGAAGGACTTTTGTTAAGTTAATTTGAGCTGTACGGCCAGGTCCTCCGACTTGGCCTTGCGAGGTTGGGATAAGTCGGAGCGGCAAGCCCGCAGGAAGAAGCTTATATTTCCTTTCGGCCTGCGCGACTTCCAGAGGCAAATTTTGAACTCCTGAGTGCTTACAATCAGCTGGATTTCTGCATCAAACCTAGCCAAAGAGCCCTCATCTAGCCTGCAAATTCTAAGCTCCAAAGCGAAAGAAGGAACACCATTATTTCGACTTTTCATCCTTTGCAAAAAAAAAAAAAAAAATGTTTTGGTCCACTGTGGTCGCTGGTCTGGTTCTGATTCCTAGCAGCAACGCAGTAGATGATTATTACTGGAGTCGGGTGGATTCCCCTCCGAACCTAGATGACATTCTTGGTCCCATCAAAACACCCGGATTTCAAAATTCTCATTTGGACATCCCAATGCCAACGGTGACCAATACATTTTCATCTAGTTCCATCCGAGGAGAACTGCAAACGCCGCACAAGCCTACTACTCCTCTTCCATGTGCAACAGATCACCATGCCTTCTCTCAGTCTCCCCATAAAACTTGGTTTGAAAATTATGATGATACTGCCAAAATTCTGCATTGGTGGGAAGAATTAGATTGTCACCCGACAGAAATATCTCAGGATTGCAACAACAATATCCCCAGCTCATCATTATCATCACCATCATTAAAAATGGCAGCCCAAAATCAGTTGAACAATTACAATTTGCTGTCATCCCATGAAATTCAAGAAAAAAGAGAAACAATGAATTGCAACCAGAACTTTATCAAGTTTCCAGAAATCCCTGAATTCAACATATTCAAGAACTCAGAATCTTTATTAATTAATGCTTCAAGCAAAGACAATGAATTATGCTTACTACCCTGTTGCTTTGATTTGGAAGCAGGATCATCCCATGAGCATGTAGCAACATTGGAGGATCATTTTGTGAGTGCTGCATCAAATGAAAGGAAGAGAAAATGCTCTGATCAATCAAATGGTATCAAAAGAATTGAAACTTTTTCACCGTTTGAGTCTTTCACAAGTCAACATCTATCAAAACCAGTGATTTCCAACTCTTTGTATTTTGAAACAAACAAATTGAACTGTGAAGTTCCATTCACAACACTAATATTTGACTCAAGTGTATTTGGGATTGACAAACCTTCAACACTTGATAGACATAGAATTGGAAATATAATTGAAATGATTTATGAGAATGATCCAGATAAACCATTGATGATTTCTATAGACAGTCCACAAGATGCATCCATAAATCTCAGAAAATTAAGTGGCCGTGGGCCAGAAGAAAAAGATGAAAGACAATCCCAAATCAAAAAGCCAAAACAGGGTGTATTGAAACAACGAGCTGCATTGAAAACAAAATCATTGAACATTTTCAGATCAAAAATAGGACATTGGTCTAATTTTTACAAAAAGAAAACTAATCAGAAGGAATTCAAAGATTTCAATCAAGAATATAAGGGGCCCATTGGAAAAGATGAAATCGAGATGCATTTGATTTTATTTTTATTTTATGTAGATATGATCACCTCAATACTTGTTCAAGAAGATCAGATAAATCGGGATAAACAAAGAAATCAAGAGATCTTGAAGGAGGCCTCAAAGATGTATCAACTCTCTTCTCGAATGTTCATTCCTGAATTCACTTGGCAAATCGGTCAAGGAAGGTGTTTGGATCTGGTGTGGTCTAAAGTCTTAGATTGGTTTGCATCCTTCAAACATGCACAACCATTTCATGATTTCTTCAACAGCATTCACACCAGAAAATATTGCCCATTATTTTTTCATGCTGTTTTTGCTTATTCTATTACAAATCTGAGCAAAAGAATCTCTGAAAAATATAGTTAAAAAGATATCTGATTTTTTTGAAAAGCACTCAATTGGTTCTTGTCTGAACCAACCACCTACTTGTATTTTTCTCTACACAACAAAAAAAATTTCAACTTTGTTTTGCAGTATATTCTGTAGAAAAAAATGAATTCCAAAAGCAGCACCAATTTTCTGCACTCTCTCAGTCCTCAACTTGCTTTACATCTACTCAAAGCTGCTTGGATTTAATCACTTTCTCAATGAGAGTGCTTGACTGCTTGATCTTATTTCAGAATATAATTTATTAAAGTGCTTGCATGTGAGGAGATAACTCTTTGTTTGGATTATTCGCCATGGAATCTTTTGAGTGAGAGGTGATTTAGATGCTGCATCTTCTGTGCTTGATTCCTGGTATGAGTATGTAGGCCTGAGCTGAGTAAGTCAGTCAATGGGATGAGATGGACTGTACTTGACCACCATCAGTATCCATTCAATTTCTGTTTTTCACTCACTCAGTGCCAACTCAACATTGGCGCCCCAACTTGATGTTGGCACTCAGAAATTTGGCCTTCAACATACCACTAACCACAAGGCTTCCACCAAACAATTAAGTTCTACACTTAAAATTCATATCAATCAAAGTGCTTATCAGCCTTAGAGCCAGCCAAGCTGGCCAAAAGCCTGCTCAAGTCCTTCTTTTCCATTCAAGTTCCTACGGTAAATTTTTCATCTTAATCTTTTATTATATTCTGACTTCAGAAGTGAATTCCTATGTTAATTTTAGCCTTATTCACCACTACCCACTTTTACACTACTCTTCTCCTTCATAGACTTTGTGATATTTCACTGTACCTTGTGAAATATCAACCAAGTTAGAATTCTAACTCTTTAACACATTTATGTGTTGTGATTATGTAATCTAGAGATGGTTGCTTGCCATCCAGATATCTGTGCGGATGCGGATATCCGCTCACAATTTCAGCGGAATCACACATCTGCCTCCGCATCCGTTGGCGGGTATCCGCGGATACCCGCCCTTTTGCTGGTCAACAATGGTGTGGGATTTTTTATTTATTTATTTTTTTTAAAAAAAAGAAGAAAAAAAACCCCGGCCCCCCTTGGCCTAGAGAGGCAGAGGCCGCACCGTTGGGAGGAACCCCTGCCAGCTTGTCGGGAGGAATCCGTCCTGGCGAGCTGGATTGTGTACCATCTTTCCAGGAGGGATTCCTCCTGACAAGCTGGGATAAATATCCTCTCTTTGGGAGGGGTTCCTCCCAACAAGAGGGTATGAACACCAGCTCGTCGGAAGGAATCCCTTCCAATGAGCTGGTATTTATCTCAGCTCATCGGAAGGAATCCCACCTGGCAAGCTGGATTTTGTACCAGGTCGCAGGGAGGGATTCTTCCTGACGAGCTGTGATAAATGATCTCTTCCAACGAGCTGGTGTACACACCAGCTTGTTGGAAGTTATTCCTTCTGATGAGCTGGTTTACATACCCTCTTGTCAGGAGGGACCCCTCCCAACAAGATGGTGTACATACCAGCTTGTTGGAAGGGATTCCTTCCAACAAGCTGGATTGTGTACCAGCTTGCTGGGAAGGATTCCTCCTGGCGGTGTGGCCTCTCTTGGAACCGGGTATCCCTTGGGATACCTCAATATCCCCCAGGATTTCAGGGGGAAGGGGGCATCCGCACCCGCTGGAGGGTATCCACCAGCGGATAACGGATATCCGCAGCAGATCATCTGCGACCATCTCTAAATTTTAATCCAACTCTGAAAATTCTCTCAGGGGATACTGAGTTTGTATTTTTAGGATCTTCAAGGTTCAGACACACTCAGAACCAACAACCTCAACTTGGAATCACTGCTGTGTTATCACTGTGTTATTGTTTGAATTACCTTCAAAATTTTATTCTTCCCACTCTTTGTGTCAGGTAGAGATAGCCATTCTGGACCCTGGTACCAAGCGGTACCTGGGTACCCCCCCCCCCAAATTTGGTGCAAAATCAGCTGGTACCTAGTACCGCACCCGGCACCTCCTGGGTGGTGCCACAGGTACCTCTGGCAGGTACCACAGGTACCACCTTGACTCTTGGTTTGCTTGTGGGTGTAACTCTCAGGAGCCATGGTTCTCAACTGTTGTGATCATTGAGTGCTGTGGGCAGCTCAAGGGGACCAGGACAATATTCATCCGGAATATTGATATATACATATCATTCACATGTCACATTCTACCTTCCCATAGGCCCTGAATCTCCCTGGGGGGTGAGCACTCAGTACCAGGGTACCGCACCGCTTTCTGGCCAAATTCAAGTACCTAGTACTACACCCAGCAACTCTGCACGGGTGTGAGACAGGTGTGAGGGGTACCCACCAAGTGGTACTAGGTACCTGCCGCAGGTACCAAATGACTATCTTGAGTGTCAGGATCACCAATAAGTAAGTCACTTCTAAATTTCAGCTTGCAGCTTTCTGCTAAGTTCCTTCTTTGTTTCTTTGAATGATCACATCATTCTGTTTCTACTCAACCTCCGCCTCAATATTCATTAAATCAAATCAAGTCATCCTTATCTTCTCTTTTTGGTGGTATAACTGAAAAACAAACAGATTTCCGTTTAAAGACACTTGATCTTAGATCTAAAAAATTGTGGTTGGATTGACATATCAATACCAATTACCCTTCTCAGTTTCTTTTGAGCAAGGTGCCGTAGATCTATTCCTCTTAAACCAGCCATCCTTTCAAGGAAATTAAGACTGTGCTTTATTATAAAAATAAATAAACAGTAGAAAATATTATATCTTTCTTTTCTCTCTCTTTCTCTCCCCTTTTCTCTTATTCTAGTTGTATTTCTTTATCCTGATTCCTCTTGAAATACATCTAGAATTTCCCCCAACCCTTCTGTCCTTCTGTAACTTTTGAGACCCAGGCTCACAGTGCCTGATGATCCTAGTAGTTGTTCAAGAACTGGAACCAGGGGTGAATCAGCCAGATCAGAAAGTTACAATGTCATTACCTAACCAGAAGTTGAGACAATTGGATAATTCATGTACTCAAGTCTTCACTGCTAAGACGTGTTTGACCGTATGTGCCGCTATTGTCTGAGCATGATAGTATTTTCATGATTCACCTCTGAAGCTAAATAGTTGTCTCTTGACACCCAAACCAGCCAAGGAATGGTTTCAATTTTCCTTCCAGCTCTCAGATCTAACTTGAAAGAAGGAATAACATTTTCTGATATGCACCCTTTTCATAAAATGCTTTGGCCGACTTTTCTTGCTTCTCTGGTACTGATATGCTCATGCAATGCTGTAGATGATTATTTTATGAGTTGGATGGATTCTCTCACAAATTTAGATGGAATTCCCACACCCATAAAAACACCTCAACTTGAACATTTTCATTCTGACATCCCAATGACAATGGTGACTGATTCACTTTCATCTGGCTCTATTGAAGAAAAGCCACCATTACTGCATGATCCCACTTCTATTCAAAGTGCTCACACAGAATCCACTATTGCTGATAATTGGGATGAATTTTGGATTGAAGATGGGAAAGACATACTTGAAATCCTGAATTCTTGGAAGGAAATAGAGGGTCCTTCAATAGAGCTAACTCAGGATACCAATAATAATAACATTGCCAGCTCATCATCATTATCAATGGCTTCTCAAAATCAATTGAACAATCAGTTTATTCCTAATCATGAAGTGGATGGAAAAAAAGAAGCAATGTCCAAAGACCAGTTGCTAGAAACACATGAAGGAAAAACAAACAAGAAACTGAACCCTTCAAGCAATCAAAAGTTGCTCTCATTTCATGAAGTGGGAGTCAAAAGAGAATCCATGCACAAAAATCAGTTAAAAGAAATTCAGGAAGTAGAAACAAACAAGAAATCCAAATCTTCAACCAATGAAAAAAACGTTTTGTTTCCTTCTTTCCTTGATTTGGGAGCAAGATCATCCCATGATCACTTAGTAAAATTAGCGGACGATTTTAAAATCTTCACACCAAATAAAAGAAAAGTAAAATCTTCTCAAAGAAAATGTGGCAAACAAAAACTCAAGAAAGGTGCATCTTTCCAATCTTTGAAAACTAAAGATTCATCAAAAGAATTGATTTCTGAATCCATGCATTATCAAACACCCAAGTCAAACTATGAACTAGCATTCACAACACTCAGATTTGACTCAACTGTATTTGGAATTGGGGAACCCTCAGCACTTGATAGCCGCAGAATCAAAAAAATAATTGAAATCATTTACGAGAATGATCCAGAGAAGCCATTGATGATTGACATCACTGATCCACAGGATGCATCTAAACAAATGAAGAAGTTGACTTTCCGTGGACCAAGCAAAAACATTAAAGATGATCCCCCAAATGGAAAACCAACAAAGTCTAAATGGGACATGAGGAAAGATTTGAAAACAAAACCATATGCAATTTTAGCATCAAAAATTAAGCACTGGTCTGAATTTTACAAAGAGAAAACTGGGGTTGAATTTGCAGATCTGGACCTTAAATATGAAGGAAATGTTGATAAAGATGAGATTGAGATCCATTATATTTTGTTCTTATTCTATGTGGATATGGTTACTTCAATACTTATCAAAGAAGATCAGACCAATGGAGATCAAAAGACAAATGAAATCAAAAATAAAGAGATCTTAAAGGAAGCAGCAAAAAGCTATAAATTCACTTCTCAAAATTTTGTACCTGAATTCAATTGGTCACTCGGTCAAGGAAGATGCTTAGATCTGGCTTGGTATGAAGTTTGCAATTGGGCCAAAGCTTTGAAAGATAAAGAACCATTTCACGATTTCTTTGAGAATCCTCACACTAAAAGATCTTGTCCACTATTTTTTCATGCTATCTTTTCTTATTCTATCACCCATCTGAGTGAAAGAATTTCTCACAAATATGAGGATATTTTGACACCTCTTTGAATACCACTCAACTTCCTTCCTATCTCTTCTATTTTTGAACTGATATTTTATACTTTTATTCTTCTCCCCAAGAGATCAGAAACTTCATTTTGTTTTGCATTCTGCTTTGTAATTGTGTTCACATGGAACTGGAGTCCAGAGCAGCTACATATGTTGTTGCACTCTCACTTAACATCACATCTGAGTTATAACGATCATTGTATGACTTCCTGTCAATGGATGTCTTCCTGTTTCAGTTTACAACCCTCCCAGAAATTAATTTACACCCCCTAGATCTCAATTTTTTTGTACAAAAATTGTTTCTTCACAAGCCTTGTGAAGACAGCTCTCATGTGAGCTGGTTGGAATTATAATTGAGGAGTTAATTTAGGACTGGGGTGGGCTTGAAAATCACTCTAAATGGCAACAGGAAGTTAGAGGCCTCAAAAGCTAGAGTTCCCAGCAAAATTCTTGACTTTTTGAGTCTAAATCAACATCTGCAAGGGTCCCAGATCCAACGGGAAGTCCTCCACTTGCTTTCTAAATTTTTCATATTCTCAATGAATAAATTGGATTCTTACATCTTGGGTGGAAATTTTGTGGTTTGTATAAAATGAAAGATTCTAATTCAGAATAACCATCAAGGAAGTGAGCAGAGGAGGAGGTCACCAGGTTGTCCCTCACTAGCAATAAGAAGATCACAGCTAGGCATGGCCATGCGGGCCCCTAGTCTACTGCCTGTTCATCTGTATGCTATTGACTGAAAGTAAAGAAAGCGCTATATGAGCATGGGCGCGCGAATTTCTCGCTATAGCCTAATCTGACTCTTGCCCTTGGAGGAACTGAGCAAACTGAGTTTGGCTGTGACGTGTTGGCTGAGCAAGTCTCCGATCGACTGTCCCCCCGCTCAACCCCGGGGGATCATGCACTGATTTATTACCACTCTGGCACTCACAGCACTCTCTGTTGACCATCACAGCACTCCACCAACCAACCAGCCTAGAAAGAAAGCCAAGCAGGATGCCAGTCAACAACCAAACACCCATCAGAACAACAACAACACCAAACAACAACAACAAGAAACAGCATCCATCCAACTCACTCATCAACTTACTCGTCTCCATCATCATCAACCTACTCAGATCCGATCTCATCCAATCAGCTCTTTTCTTCTCAGAAAGACTCCATGCACTCATCCCTTCCTCAGAACTAGCAACCTGGTTACTCTCACTCTGTCTACTCAGATCGAAGGACTATCAAGCAACAGTCCACCTACTCAGGAACGCACCTATCTTCATCCCAAACTCACTCCCACCCTCATCAACAACAACTTCAACTAAAAACCAACAACAACAACAACAACAACAACAACAACAAAAACCAAATGAGAACAATAATCAGAAGGGAAAGGGGAAACTGGCGGATGACGACCCATTCAACTTTCACAGCTCTCCACTAGCACCATCCAAGAAACAGCCACTGGAGTTCGATCAAAACTCACTCAAAGGTACCACACAACGACCCGCCAATCTGGCTAGTACACGATGTGCACTCGTTTACTCAAAAGCTTGTGGCCTGATCGATCGTCCCAAGGAAGGATTGGAGATATATTTACAAGCAATCGAAGAATTTGGAATGTCCTCTCCCGATGAAGGTACTTTTTTTTTCCCTTTTTTTCAGTCCTGAAACGATTTAACAATAGACATAATTAACCTGAGCCTTTTTTATCTCTCGTAACAATCCAGTCGCGTTACTCAGCTCCACTTCCAACTCCGATCAATCTACATCATCCGCGTACACCCACCTGGCCACACTGTCATACAAGTCACACGAGTATGAGAAAGCCAACCGATTCTATCGGAAGGCACTCGAGGCCACCTCGGATGGTCATCTCTGTTGGGAAGCCTTCGAAGGATTATGTCAGACGATCTCGACTGAAGAGGATCTAGATCCCGAGGAAATATTCTGTTTGAAGGATGTCGATCAGTTCCTGCCTGGATACATGGAACTAGATGACGAGTACATCCTCTACACCTCCAACGCCTCGACCAATACCAGACAGCCCACCAGTCTTCCCATCGTCTCCAACGCGCCCATCAAACCCAAACCACCCCCTCTGGCCCCTAAGGACGCCTTTCGGATTATGGGCAATAATGGTCTCTACCGACACAAGCAGATGTTGATCGACAACTCATTTGGCGAAAGCAGTCGGAATAGTAGCTTTGCTGCCAACTCCTTCGATCGCCCCTGTTATGCTCCCAAACCCAACCTGCCCAACCAACGCGTCCCTCAACCTAAGTCGAATATTATCAGCCATGCCAAGATGGAGATGCCATCGACACCCAACCTGAATCGCCCTAGCCCCCTGCCACCCAGGTCGTTCAACTTTGCCCTCGGAGAACCGCCTCGACATCGCTCGGATTCGGCCTACGATCCCGTGCCGATCTCTTCGACCCCTAATTTACGCCACGGCTTCGAGCACAACCACTTGAGCTCTGCAAGCCACCCCCCGCCAATGCCTGCGCCCTCACCACTAGCATTCACAGGCACGTACGCGAAAATCCCATGCGAGCATCCGTCACCTTTGCCGGCAATGGGTCAGCAGGGCCGAGGACTGGTGAGTGTCAAACGGACGCGCTCTCAGACCCAATCTCAGGATCTCTCACGCAGCTCGACGAGTGCACCGACGGCAACGACGTCAGGTGAGCTACAAGGACATATGACCAATACCCAGAGCGATGGGAGCTCGAAGTCGAACCTCCCACCAGTGATGTCGACAGCGGCAACGACGACGAATACTCAGACGGCCAAGCTTGGTAACGGCAGACTGTTATCGAGACGCGAGATGATCGAAAGTGGACGACTAATGAAAGCTGTTGGACCCCGAGAAACCAAGCGGGTGAAGAGCAACAGTAACTTATTTCCACCCCCCGATCGGCAATCGACACCCAGCATTGCTCCCGATCGTCCTCCCACATCCTTCCCTCCTCATACCTCTACATCCATCAATCCTGCTCCTATCTTCTCTCGCTTCAGACGCGAGAAAATCGAGGCTATCCATTGGGTCAAAGACGTCCTCCAAAAACTCGCCGCCGCTCAGCTCGCACTCGCTCGCTTTAACTCCCAGGTCGCGCTCGACTCCTTGGCCGCTCTCCCTATCGAACAGAAACGTAGTTGGAGAGTTTATTGCCTTATCGGTCGGGCCAGATTCGAAATGTTGGATTACAAATCCGTGAGTACTTATCCTCTATTACTTGCCCACCGCCCCCCTTCTTGAAAAACAAAAAGACAACCTGTTAACTTTTGAAGCTGATTGTGATGAATGTATATAGGCTGAAATAGCGTTCAGAAAAGCCCGAGAATGTTTCCCACACTTAGTGACACACATGGATATATACTCGACCTTACTATGGCATTTGCGCAAGACGACGACATTATCGTACCTATCGCAAGAACTCCAACTGATCAATCCGAGTGCAACGGAGACATGGATCGCGACAGGGAACTTATTCAGTCGATTAGATGACCATCCGAATGCGTTGAAATGTTTCCAAAGAGCGACGCAACTGTCACGGACGGAGTCGTATGGATACACCTTATCGGGACATGAAAGCTTGATGCTCTCGGAATATTCGCGCAGTTTGGTGTTCTTTCGGGAGTCGATCCGCCGGAATTCGAAGACGAATTATAACGCGTTCTTCGGCTTGGGCGAGTGTTTTTATAAACAGGATCGGTTCAGATTGGCCCTCTTCTTCTTCAACCATGCTAGGATTATCAACCCCAATAATCCCCTCATCCTCGCCGGTGTTGCTAAGGTCTATCAAACCCTGGGTAACCTTCATCAGGCCCTTCTCGTCTTTAATGATGCCGTCTCCCTCGCCCATTCTTCTGTCGCTAGTATTCGCTTCTCTAGAGCTAAAATCTTGTTCGAATTAGGTCATTTAGAAGTCAGTTTTCTCTTTCTTTCTGTTCTTGAAATTTTATAACTGATTTGGGTGAATCTTTTTTTTTTTTTCAGGAAGCAAAAGAAGATTTAACCAAATTAATAGATCTAGTCCCCACTGAATTCAATGTAAGATTCTTGTTAGGTAAAATTTATGGGAGATTGAATTTGAAGAGAGAGTCCATTAAACATCTCACTTATGCGATGGATCTCGAACCTAAATCTATCGGGATCGTTAAGAAAATCTTGTCTGATTTAAACAGTTAATTCTCTTTTCTTTTTTGTGTTCATTGGAGTTGTTTGTTAGATTTTTTTAGTTTTTTTCAGTTTTTTTTTGGTGGGTCATCTTAGTCTTTCATGTTTCTTGGTCATCTTTATATACAACTGGAATAATATTTATTGGCTCCTTTTTGGTAATCAATTCATACTTCAAAACATAAATATGCGTGTTTACAACTACATACAGAGGATAGACAGAAAAAATGGCACTTCAACTTTTGCTGTTAACAAGGTGCGCTACGAAAAACAGAAAAGTGTTTTTTTTTCTATCGCAGTCTACCCACTATGCGCCAAGTAGAACCCATTGGTTCTTGGTGGTCCTTCCATGCTGTAACTCCTTGTCCTGAGTATGGGGCCTGAGCATATCGCCATATCGGTGGGTCCAGACCGGACTCGGAGTCCAGACGCCGACAACTGATTTGGAATATCAATGACGATAGCCGTTGCACCAGGAAGTTCTATCCCAACCGGTCACTCTCTGCTTGATTATTGATGAGTCTCCCAATCAAGCCTATAATGGTCTCTCGATCATTCTCTTGGGAATTCTTCACTAATCTTGTGTTGCTCTCATTCAATTTCGGCCACTCAAGCCTGATTGCAGATGTTATAATAACTCATCATCAGCTCGGGGATTGTGTTTCTTCTGCTTCCCCCAGACATACATTCATACATAGATCAAAGTTCCATCAATACATAATCCCTGAAAATGAGTCGACAATCCACATCACAACAGCTCGTAAGACTGATAGCTCAAGCGGTAACAGACCTTGAAGAAGACACCTCGACTCAACTTCCAGGCGCAACGACTACTGAGCTCAACTTACCAGTAGTAGCGCCAGAGGACGACTTAGAGGCCACCCCGAAACGTCGATCGGCAATCAGAAACTTGAAGGGTGCAGTCCATCAATTGCTTGCAACCCTGTTACCAGTCGGCATCCATGTCGAAGAGATTTATTATTCGCACCTCCAGACGGTCGCAATAGACACTGTTATCAAAGGCCGTATTGCAGACTTGATCCATTCGATCGACCCTGAATCCAACAAGGGGGGAGTCCACGTCCACTTGCTCGCCCAGAAGGCCGGCATGGATCCCCGCAAACTGACTCACATCCTGCGCTTCCTGGCCGTGCGAAACATATTCTGTGAACTCAACCCTCTTCATTGGGGAAACAACCGATGCTCTTTGCCTCTACGGACCGATTCGCCAAACAGTCTATTGCACCTCTTCGTTCACATGAGGGACTCCGTATCCATGCCGGCGCTCGTGGCTTTTCCAGACGTCCTCTTGGACAATCATGGCGGGGGCGCTTCCAGTTCGGACCCGAACGAGAGTGCATTCCAAAGATATTATAAGCCTGGCTGTGATTATTTCAGCTGGTTAGCCGCTTCAGAGGATAATATCAAAGCCAAAACTTTTGCAAAAGCAATGGTACGACCAATTCCTTGATCAGTGGTTATCCATTTTGGTATAACTGATCAAATATATCCGGGCGGGGGGGGGGTATTTTTTTTGTCAATGGGTTGTAGGTAGAGACAACCAGGTCCAATGGTACGTCGGGATCTGCACATTATAAAGCGTTCGATTGGAAAGGCCTTGGCCCCAAGGGTACCCTCATCGATGTTGGCGGTGGGATCGGGGCAGCTGCATACGCGGTTTCCGCTCACCTTCCCGAATGGAAGATCGTCATACAGGACCGGCCGGAGGTCATACAGGCTGGGAAAGAGGTGAGCAGCTTCTCAAAATTGCGGATTCTTGCTCCCGTTGAGCTTCAAATGAGTTTTTGGCCTCTACATATATGATATTAATGACATGTGTTTGCGGCGATAAATGCTACTTAGGAATATCGAAATGTGGGATCCAAGGCTAATATTGAATTCGAGGAACTCGACTTCTTTCGCGATCAACCACCCCATCGCATTGAAAATGCAGATGCATACTTCCTTCGACATATTCTTCACGATTGGCCGTGAGTGGAATCTCAAGAGTCATATATAAGGGGCTAACACGGCATGATGGCTATGTTAACTGAATCACCCTTGGAATTTACTTGGACGGAATCTTTCCATGATCAGCTCGCACTTATGTGTGCAGATTTTGACAAAATTGCGACTTGCATCCAAGCCGACGACGCGTCTTTTGATCTGCGAGACGAGTCTTGAGCCCGGACTGATCGAGCCAGACTCTCCGCTTCTCTCCAACGGCGGAATGGCCACCTCTTTGTCTCATCACTATAACCTTATCATGTTATCTCTTTTTAACGCCGAGGAGCGCAGTCGAGAAGATTTTCAAGAACTCTTCGCTCTCAGTGGGTGGAAGTTGCAGTCAGTCACCACTCTGACAACCTTCTTGGATCGTTTCATTTTTGAAGGTCTACCAGATCCTGCGTGGAAGGAGCTGTGATCAGCCAAATGTTTATTCTTTCACCTCCTTCAATAGCATTTGTTTCTCGTTAAAATCTTTCTTCTATTTAATATATCTATTCCAATGCTGAAGTGGGAAATCGCTATGTAGATAAAGAACAATGATTAAGATGATCTCCAGTTTAGTAAACTGCAAGATGTTTCCTTTCAGGCAATTGGCAAGCTTTATATATGAAGCCCTCCTTGCATTAGCTTTTGGGCAATTATACATTCAATCTGTCAAGGGGAATGGAGGAGGAGATCTCCTTTCCCCTTCAGCAACAAGGAATTTCAGCAATCATCTATGTAAGAGAGATCCAAGTTGGAATGTGACTTGTACTTGACTTGGTGATTGACCATCCAATTCATTTGAGTTGTTATAACTTGTTGTGATGGGTGGTTTTGGATGTACAGATTTATGGATCAATCATGATGGTGAATGAACGAGTTTCCTATTAAGCCATACCCCTTGGTGGATATATTTTGCTGTGGTTTGAGGCAAAGTATGGTTTAATAAGTCACACATTTAGCCATTTTGTCCACTTTGGTCGAGTGTTTTCCAAAAAAAAAGTATGGATCAAAAGGGGTTATGGGCTAATAGGACATGGGTTAAGATCAAGTTGACTGGAATAAGTTTTGACATTTATCTCATCAAGTAAATTAGCCAGCTTGTAGATGAAACTATGTACTGACAATGCTTGTCACGTTCCTTTGATTTTGCATATCTTGATGTTTTGAAACTTCCTCATTTTGGAACAGTTGCTCAAAAGCTCATCATTTCTATTCTTGTGAATCAATCTTAGTAGCAGCTCTTGAAGCAGTATTATATCAATACACATGTCAGCATAAAAGCTATTTTTGGTATTTGCACCTTAATCAGTTTAATCTTAACAAGAATAGTCTCAAACATAATATTCCACAAATCCACCAACAATAGAAACAATAGACCACTATACTACAAGATACTAGTACAACAATAACAATCAGTGCAGAGGTTTATTATTTGGTCAGGGTAAAGATTGGTGCATGAAGCTTCACATTCTCCAAAAGGTAGTGTGTGTGTGTTTTGGAGTGTTCACTCCATTCATACCATCTTGTAGAGTGATCTTTCCTGTGCATGTAAGGGATGGTCCCAAACCTTGGGATTCAATTTAATTTCCAGGGCTGCCCCGGTCCCAAACCCCAGGGTTCAGGAATCAGGATGGGCTTCTTGCAACCCCAAACCCCCACGATAAGTGTGCATACTATTTATTTTTTTCATATTCACATGTGGGATTCTTTGCAAAGGAAAAAAAGAAAAGATTAAAATGGGCCATCAAAGGCCTAAAATCAATAACTAATCCTCACACAGTACTTGTGGTTGGGATAGGTAGGTATTGCAGGGTCATAATGTCATCATTGAGTCAAAAAAATCCCAACCAGTGCTGGGGCTTTGAGGCAGATGCAGAATTTCTGGGGTTTGTTCCTTGGGATGACCCTCTAGCCCTGTCCAGAACCATCTCTTCTGTGCATGGAGAAAGCTCTCTCTTCACATTCTCTGTACCTCCTTGTGGGACCAGTAGGCCTTAGTGTATTGCCCCCACCCCACAGACACACATGATTATGCACTTAATTTTGGCTGTAGATAGATGGATATATGTGTCTAAAAAACGTATATGCAGTACAAGTTTCAAACTTCTGAGTTTTCTAACACACAATTCCATGTGCACAAAATGGATGTATGCACAAGCTCACAAGCATAAAATTTGATAAAGCTTTGGTTCAACTGACATGTAGAATCTTGATTTGAGATTTTGGTGGCCAATTTAGCTTACAGGAGAAGATATCTAAAGAGAAAGGGGAAAAAAGATGCATAACATAACTGGGATGAGGAAAGATTCCTTGGGCCCCATTTGGATGGTGTGTTTTCCATCATAAATAGGCCCCTGTTATGCCCCAAAGAAAAACTCTTCAAAAATTCCAGAGCCCACGGGGGTTGCGTGTTATGAATGTCACAATTTATCATGTATAACTGGCCATCCAGGTAGGGCTGTGAATTGACAAACTGAAGGAGTATAATTCTTATGAGCAAAGAGAAAAGAAATACATGAGAAGAAGAAAGGATTCTTAGCCGAAGTCAAACAATGATATGAAATAGAACACAAGTAGAACAATAATGAATAAAAGAAAAGAACACAAAAGACTAAAAACAAAGTTTCATTGATGAGGGTCTTCAATAAGACATTGAGAGTTTGAGAGATGAAACATACTGTGATTGAAGACCTGACTTCTTTTCTGAGTAATTGGAGGAGTGTTGATAAGAAGGGAAAGCACAGGTCTGTTGGCTGGGTAGACAGTGAAAAGTGGCTGGTTATTTTGGATTCCAGAGCTCCAAAACACAAATTTGAAATCATGAGACTTGCTCAGGTGGTGCATAATAGTTCCCAAAAAATGAATATGAAAAAATAAAAGCAAAAAAATTAAGCTTCAAAATTTGTGAAAAAATAGAAAATTTAAAAAAATATTTTTTTTCAAAAGCTTTGTAATGCATTTTGGGGGAGTAGGAGTGCTGAGAGAAAGAAAGATTGGGAAATTAGAAGAATGATTATAAATGAAAATTTTGGAAAAATTGGTTTTCAGATGGCTTCAAACAGCTCTTGAGTGGGGCATTCACCAGTCCACATTGTAGTAAAGCACTAGAATTTACTGTTTTGGCTTCAATCTGGACAAACAACCTGGCTAAACCTTTTTTGGATCCATTTTTTTTTTTTTTTTTTTTCATTTATAATCATTCTTCCCATATTCCATTCTTCCTTTCTCTCAGCACTCCCACTCCATCAAAATGAATATCAAAGCTTTTGAAAAAAAAAAAAAAAAAAAAAAAAAAATTCAATATTTTTCACAAAAATTTTGAAACTTCATTTTTTACTTTTATTTTTTGATATTCATTTTTTGGGACCTATTATGCACCAGCTGACCAAGTCTCATGACTTCAAGTTTGTGTTTCAGAGCTCTGGAATCCAAAATAACCAGCCACTTTTCACTGTCTACCTGCTGTACACGCGGAATCTGTGTGTGCTGTGCCGCAGCAAAATTACCATTGCGGAAAAACTGCATTTTTTTATTAACACCCAAAAGAAAAGGAGCTTATTTACTTTTCTTTTTTTGGTGTTTTGTGATGAAACAGTTGACTGTTGAGGTGAGATCAGCTTTGAGCTGATGATCTGATTGGCCCAGTGGTTTTGGGTAGGCGCAGCCTGACTTGATCTTGTGGCAAGATCTGAGCCCCGTCCAACCCAGCCTAAATCAAGCCCCCTGGACCCAGTCCCAAGCCCTGGTTGCACTTGCCTAGCCAAGCAGGACATGTGATTGGGGGCCCAGACAGGCTTGACACACCATCACATCATTGTGAGAGATGAATTTGAATCATCAATTGCTGTAACCCAAGGGAATCTGTATTATATCCTACCTACTGACACCTGCACTGAGCCAAACAAAAAAAAATGAGTGCAAATGCCAACCATGAAAAGCTTAAAAGCATGCCCAAAACACCCAAGAAAACCACACAAGAGTAGACAGATATGTAACTTAACTAACCAAACACATTTCTGCAGGCTCTCTTGTTTGTGAGACCTACTAGTCTTTCTTTGACAAAAAAAGGGGGGGAGGGGAAGAAATATATATATATATATTCTTTACAAAAAAAAAAAATGATAACCAACCAACAAAGAGGAGAAGACAAAAAAAAAAGAAATGTGTTATCAATAAAAAAAAGGGGAGGGGGTGAATTGGAGGTGAGGGTTCAAGAGACACAGACAAAAATGAAAAGAAAAGCTAGGGATGCTTATAAAAGATTCATAGAGCTGGAAAGGGTAATCAGTAGTAGCAACTGTATAAAGAGGAGAACAGAGAGATAAACTTCAATAAAAAAAAGGGGATGTATTTTCAATATTATATGTAGAATATATAATTGAAAAAAAAGGGATTCAAATGAGGGTAGAACAAAAAGAACAAAAAACTCAAGTCAGTGATGATGATAAGAGAGAAGGGGGAAAAAAACTGATGAGATATATTAAATAATGAGAGTAACAAACAAAGATAAGTAAGAAAAAAAATAGACCAACAAAGAAAAAACACACATGACACCAAAAAAAAAGTGACAAAGGAACAGGGAGTAGATGAGGATTTGTGTGGAGAGTAAGTGAGGAAGGAAGAGATGGTGAGAGAAGTGAGGTGATGACAAGCTTGTGAAAGTCAGTAAAGAAGAAGGAAAATGATGATAATCAATAACCATCAAGTGTCAGACAAGGAAAAAGGAGGAAGTGAGCATAGTGGATCTCGGAAGTGGAGAGAACAAAGGGTAAAAAGGAAAGAAGAGTTTTAGAACAATGTGTGAGAGGAGGTGGGGAAGGGAGGGTGATGATAGCAAGGGGATCATCCGCAACGACAAGTCAAGAAGTCCAAGATTTTCAATCCAATCGACCTAGGAGGATCCTGATTATCGTTAGATTTGATCGGACGTTTCTGACCAGAAGTGAGAGGATCAGGGGAGGATTGATGATTAGGTTGCGAGTTAGCTTGAAGATGATTATTGAGATGAGCGGGCATGTTGCCATAACTAGCACGTTGATTGTTAGAACCATCAAATGTTTGGCCGGTGCCGCTAGCTGGGTTGGGGGAAGCGTAAGGATGGTTAGAAGAGCGACTAGGATTGGCCTCTTGTCGATTAGCACTTTGATGACTTTGTCGTTTGCCAGAGGATGATTGTAAGATTCCATTGTCCGGAGGGGGTACGCCTTGGAGCGCGGCGGTGGAGCTGGTACCGGTCCCTTGAGGCATCCCGCCGGGCATCTGCTTACCCATGCTCAGGTTCGTCGACGTTCGTTCGGGCTTGGAGCCTTGTCGGGTAAGATCTGAAGGGAAGAGAACAAGGCTTCAATTTCGTATCTCTTCACCACCAACAATAAGCGAGCTCCCGAACCCACCATTAGGGTACTGTAAGCCTGCCGCCTGCGAGGCTTTCATCGCGTGTCGTTCGGTACGCTCACGCTCACGGTCTCGGGATGATCGGTGATGACGGTTATCATACTGATGGGCTGCTCCACCTGGGTGCAAATGAGCGTGGTTGGTCTGTGGTTCATGCGTAATAATATCGTTAATGATACGCTCAATCTACCTAGTTAGATGAAAAAATCTAAATTACTTACAGAGCTCGCCTCCCAGCCTTTCCCGTTATTCAAGATCATCCAGTCGTAGACGCCATCTTCGGTTTCACCAGTGTTCTTCAGGACCTTGGTAAACAGTTCTCTCAGGAAGTCGTAATCGGGGGTTTCCTCAAAGCCGAGCTTTCTGACATAGTTGAGATAGATGCCAAACTCCTCTTTAAGAAGTTAAGCGAGTGGCGCATGAGTGACGGCGAACACAAGCCTCAAAAGGAAAGAAAAGCACAATCTCACCAGGAAAGTTTTCACAGAGTTCCTTGATCGCAGTGCTTTGTTTCTTCTCTCCAATCTTCTCGTACTTTTGCTTATTAGTAGCAGCCTTGAGTCCTTGCCAGGGGAGGCCGCCCCGGAGAAAGTACATAAACACGTGACCGAGGGCCTCAAGATCATCACGACGAGACTGCTCTCGACCGAGATGGGTGTTGATGGACATGTATCGGGCGGTTCCGGAGAGTGACTTGCGCTCCCTGTATGGGATGTGAACTTTGGTCTTCACGTCTCGATATAGCTTGGCCATCCCAAAGTCGACCACATGAACCACATTGGCAGCCTTGGTACCTGGACGTCCAATCAGAAAGTTGTCAGGCTTGATGTCACGGTAGATCAAGTTCTTCTCATGAATGGTTTGGACTCTGGTGAGCTAGATGATCGATTTCGAGCGTGAAAGATCAAGTCAGCACTATGTAGTTATAAGCTTGTCGTCAAATGAGGATGGTGTAAAGGTACCATTTGTTTAGCAGTCATCACGACCGTCTTGACGCTAAATTTCCGACCACACATGTCGAACAGATCTTCAAGACTAGGACCGAGCAAATCAATAACCAAGATGTTATGGAGACCTTCCTGACCGAAATAGTAGACTTGAGGAACGCCAGCTGAGGGGATCCAGACGAATATTGTGAAAAAGGGGTATTAGCTATACTGTCAAGGAGGTAGCAAATGATGGATACATACGAGAGCCAGCAAGAATCTTGTAGGTGCGGTATTCGTCTCGGAGTTGAGGAGCATCGGATTTCCTGGGCTCGAACTTGATCGCTACCGTTTGAGAGTTAAGTAGGTTGGTACCCTCAAAGATGACGCCGAATGAGCCTTCTCCGATCTTCTTTCCGACACGAAAGTGAACGCCTGAGTGGTGAAAGAGAGAGAGAGAGAAGTCAGCGATCATGAACAAGGAGGGACTGAGAGGGACTGAGTTGTGCTTACCTACGACGTTACTGCTCGAGTTGTGGGAGGAGTGGGCAGCTGACATGGTTGGATTTGATTGTTCGGTTGGAAGAGAATGACTGAGGTAAGCGGAGAGGAGGAGGAGGAGGAGGGAGGGGGAGAGAGGTAGAAGTGGTCAAGAGGCACAGCAGATGGGGGCTGCTGGAAGCGAGTTCCAGCAATGGTTAGGGCTTGGTGGAAGATGATGGAGGTTACAGAAGGCTGTTCAAGGAGATTCGAAAGAAGTGTACTGAAGAGATTAAGGTTGATGATAATTAAGAAGTAAGCGATGCGCTCGAGGTGGTTGGTTGGTCTGAGATGGGGATGGGAGAGATGAGGGAGTAGGGTGTGGTGTGGTAGGATGGCGGCAGTGTTGAGCGTTCTTGAGAGGTGGGAGTTTCAAAGAGGAGGCTTAAAATGAAGTGGACTTCAGAATTGGGCTAGAGGGCATTAACCAGGCTCAGTTGGACTTAAAACACCATAAACAGTTAAAAATCCAAACTGCATGATACAAAAAACCAGACGGGGGTTTTTGTCTTCAGTCATGACAGAACCAGGAAGAAAAAAAAAAAGGCCATAAGGGCATAAAAACAGACGAACACGCTGGGAGAACTGAGCCTGTTCTAACAGAAAAGGACACATGCTAAACAGATCCAGAATGGGACCAGCTGTTATGTGTATATGGACTTACATAGAAGGGGCTAAGCTTGCAGTAAAGAGGATTGAAGAACTGAGCTCATCAAGCTGCGAAACACTATCTTTCCTCAAACAAGTCCTCAATCGATCCTCCCTCCCTCCCCCCTCAGGCTCAGAACAACCCTCCTCCTCCACTTCCAGCCTGGCCCCTTCCCTTGATTGACCCACCCTACACACCCACTCTTTTCGTACACTTCTTCCTCCACGTTTCCGATCTAACCATCACTTGCTGCTGTTGTTGTCATCTCATTTCTTTTGACATCTTGAAAGAATCCATACATTGTCCTTAACCCCACCGGCCAATTGACCGGTGGCGGTGACTTGTCAGCTTCCATCTGATTTACAGCAAACACTTTTTGCTTTCTGCAAGTTGAGTCAGCTGTGAAAAGTGACGTCTTTAGCCAAACCAAAAAATGGAGTGTCAACACCGCCCTCTTCAACATCCATTCTTGATCACTTGTCCATCATGGCAACCTGAAGTTCTAGACCACTAGGCTTTCTTTACTGACTCAAGTCAGTGTAGAACGCATGACTGGCCATGAGCTGTGCAGATACATACATAATCTCTATTATCCGTCGGAGCATCGATCAATCAAAGCCCCAACTGATGCAGACCAAGACCAGAAGCGAGCATCAAGATGTCCATCTTCCTCAACGTCAAAAACCAATCAATCATCCCACTTGAAGAAACTTATTTTTAAACCGATTGATGTGTGTATCATGTCAGATATCAATATACCGTTTGGGGTCTTGACTGCGGTCTGTTGGTGGGGGGGAGGACTATAGGAACTCGGAAGGAGATTCCAAAAGCCTCTGTCATAATACTCCTTTATATAATAATATCCGCCGGCCGATCTTCGGCCTTCGACCGGCGCTGAAACGGACTCCCGTTGAAACCCAGTGGATGGATGTGTCCTGATACTATTTGATCATAGCTTAACATCGTCAATTTTGAAAATCCGCCGGATGCTTATGGGCATGAACGGGCCATGTCAGTTGAACTACGTCTAGAGACGAGGGCAAAGATTGATGGTTTTATCTTTTTGTCTGAATGTCGTATGCACCCTGCTGGCATCTTGCCAGAAGAAGAAAAATTCACAATCAAACTTTTGGCAGATCGTTCGGCTGAAGTGCAACCGCAGATAGAAATAATTAGGCTGTTTCAAGCCGAGAGTAAAGCCCCCACAACGCACAGGGGCTAATTTTCCATTCACAGTATGTACCTATGACCAATTCGGGAGCTGTTGGGTTGCACCTTGTGCCTAAAATCGGACGCGTCAAGTTACCTTCTTATCAGGACAACGGGTCTGCCTGCTGTGAATTCTTGACGCAATTCTAGCTCCTGAGGCGAGACGAGAATTACCTGAAGTCTTTCTCCGCGAGCACGATGGCCACTATTCACAGGCGTCATCGGACCTCTAACCACAGATCAGAGAGCACTTGCAATAGGGGACAGGGGACTCTTCTTCTACGGATCCAACTTGGCGGACCGAGACCGTTCACGTATAGAAACACGAGGGTGCGATGGATAAGGAAATGCAACGAGCCAGAGGGATCTTTGCATAACACTCAGGTCGAGACAAAGAAGACATTCGGAAAGAAGCGTCTTGTTCCGGATGACAAAGAGAACAAAAAAAGACACGCGGGCTGATGTCCTGGTTCCGGACATCACACTGCTGCTAATTCGGCTCAGCTTCACAACCTCAAGAGTTATAAAGCGCAGTCATCTTAATGGCCACGGGGGGCACTCTCCCATCGCAACAAATCGGCAAAATAAACTCAAACAAACGCGGACCATCCAATTTTTACAAATCTTCAAAACAGCCCTTCCAAGCCAAAAATCCACCCGAACAATCACAACAGGAATGACTCAACGATCCAATCCTAGTGGATTGGATGGAAATCTTCCCGGAGAAGAAGGTCCTCGTGGCCCAACTTCTACTACTCCAGAAATGGGCTCCCCAGCGCTTCATTCTGCAGCGAACAACCATGCCAGTTCCGATAACATCTACGGGCCAGAGGATGAATATCTCATTTTTGGTAGTTCCCCTATAGAAATCACCGACGACCCGTCGCAGGCTGAGAGCAGTCAGCACCCGCCCCCACCCGTGGGCTTTGAAGCTCTTCGAAAAGACCCCAAGTATTTCGCCTATCGTCACATCCCGCCCATCACCCGCGGCCTTACAATGTTGAGGCCCCTGGAAGAATATCTAGAGAAGCTTAAGCCCCGGGACCAAACCAACATCGCGCGATACTTTCGCGAATTGGACCGCGAGACGGCTGAGATGCTACATGGTCCTCTCCAACCAAGGGACTTCATTTACTCGTACGACTTTGTTGATGAAGACTCCACTCCCGCGATCGCCCGTAGTATCTCGAAATTGTTTGATTTGAACACGCAGGGCGTTAATCGAATCCTCCAAACTATACAACTTGACCGTGTTGACCTGTGTCTTCATTCCCCCCATTCCCGCCATAGGCCAGAAGCAGTGGATTGGCTGCTGGATTCTCTTGGACTACATCCAGTATCCTCACTATTATCTGAAGACCCTGATCCTAACAGGATCGAAAAGTGCTCAATCTGTCTGAAGGAATACGACCCCGAAATTCCGGTAATTGTGCTACTATGCCATCCTGAACACCACTTCCACACAGACTGTATCAGAGTAAGCTTCTTCCCCTTTCTACCTCAACTATATCCCCAACACCTTACTTACCATCCGTCAATCTTTTTTTCCCCCTTGTTTCTCGTCCAGAGAGCTCTGAACAAAGTCGCACGCTGTCCGTGTTGCCACGTCGATGTCCTGATGCCCCGAGATTGAGCTCACTGTCGCCAAAACCCCTGCTCTTTACATCTGATCCTGACCAAGACTTTTTATCCTGAAATGCTATCTTTATCATACACAATAATCACAGCAAGTTTCGCACAAAATTTCGACAACGTTTGATGGTTTCCCTCTATCTAAGTCTTTTGTTGCCAGACTTTATAACGAGTGGGGATTGAAAGGCAACCGCGCCAACTACACGGGAGGGACTTTTTTATAATAAGTTGTCAAAAAGCGTGACTTTGAGTGAGCGATACCACGGGCCATCTTGATCTGTCTACCTTCCTTCGCAGAAGCGCTGAAAGGGAGTGAACCAGTCTGATGAACGTTAGACCGGTGGGCGCGGCATATTGGGCTTGTGTGTGTGTGGCATAGCTTCCCTCATCCCTCAGAGTCATACTCCGATCCACACCAGATGAGCAGCATGAAGGATCTGACTCACTGGTCTGTTTGTTCACTTTGCGATCTGTTCGCCTAAAAATTGAGAGTTTTTTGTATCCCTTACGGATATGGTTTTCAATTTGCACCTTGAAAACGGCGGAAAAAACGCGTCTGGCTTGTTGAAATATTGTCAAGATCATGGAACTAGATGCACCTTCACCCACATCACTCATAGCATCATTTGGGTTTGGCCTTCATTTGTGCATCTACCAAAAGCTCAACGATTGACGATCTCTTCTGCGCGGTCCCTCTGTCGAATACATCCACCAAAAAGAAATCACTGCACTTGGGCCCGGGGTACAAGTTGTCGGGGCTATCCTGCGGATGGGTAAGGGTAGTCCGGCAGTGAGTATCATTAACACTCAAATCAAATTTGAAATTCTCTACGGCTGCACACATAAACGGAGAATAACCGGGATTTTCTTTTTGAAGGATTTTCTCAAACGGATAGATGTTGAATCGTACCAATTCTATTGAACTATTTGTTCTGTGACGTCATTCTTATTCATCAAGCATATTCATTATCCTCTTACACACAAAAGTACCGGTTGTAGTTTGAAACCTATTTGATCATCTAGTTCTCTGAGCTCGCACATGTATGACGTTCTCTCTTTTCTCTTCTCAATCAAATTGTTTCCTATCAACTCGGTTCACTAATAAGTCTCAAACCTTCACTACAGGTTAGTATTAGTTTCTTCTTTTAACCATTAACCTGTCTCATCATTGTTTCATCATTCTTTAGGTTTGTTCTCTTATTGTTCGTCGGTCATATCAGTCATGTAGTGATCTGATATCACCTACCTCTCTAAAGGTGTGTATAACTATAAGGAAATTCAATCAAATTGTTTCCTATCAACTCGGTTCACTAATAAGTCTCAAACCTTCACTACAGGTTTTTTCTCTTGTTGTTCGTCGGTCATATCAGTCGTGTAGTGATCTGATATCACCTACCTCTCTAAAGGTTTGTTCTCTTATTGTTCGTCGGTCATATCAGTCGTGTAGTGATCTGATATCACCTACCTCTCTAAAGCTTGTTGTTCAATAAATTCAACTGCGTCAAGCCTGAGCCCGAGAGGAGATTCATCTGTGCCACCAAAACGTGTGGTCTCATCAGAATTTTTCCTGCTTTGGAGATTAAATCTATCAGATAAGGAACCTGCTTTTTGGCGACAAAGTTAATAATAGCTGTAGAGCTTAACACTTTTCTGAGCCGGACGCGTCGAATGTTCCTTTCAAAATGCGTGTGGGCTTGAAAGCGCACACTTAAAGGTCCTTACTGCTGCTTGATTCAGCTGAGCCTGAAGGGATACAAGGTGTATAAGAAGCCCGAGTGATCTGGCACTTGCAGCCTCTCACCACCATCCAAAACAGACCTCAAGCCTCAAGCCCACGACAACACTTCATCTCCAGAAGCCCCTGGCGTAGCCCTTTTCTTCCAACAGAAAACCCAGAAACTCCAGCATGAATAATCCACCCAATTCTGGTGACTTAAAACTTCACCGGAGATGATGGCCATTTGGTACCCTCAGAGACCAGCTCTGACAAGAATCCCTCCATGGAGGGTGATAACCCTGGTATGTGAGGTGCAGGATTCACTGCCCTACCACCTCCCCTAGTATATGGTGAAGTGCGCCAACGACAGCACAGCATAGTTTGGACCAATGACCTCCGGAATGCCTGGCAGGATCCCCCCGTGCCATGCGTTCGAATTCTGGGCCCCATTGAGGACCTCTTTGCGTGTCTCAATCGGCGCCACCAAGTAGAACTTAATCTGGGCTTTCGCCATCTCGATAGCGAGATGGCCATCCTTCGACATGATGGCACCCGTGCGGACCGATTCGTCTTTGAGCGTATGCGGCCAGTACGCACCCTAGCAGTGCACCATGCCGGCCGCCGTCTGAGTCACATGGACCCCGAGCGTGTGAGACTATTCCTCAGAGATGTTTTGGAGGAACGTTTCGAGCTATTGTTTCATTTGCCTCATTCCACCAATAGAGAATAAGGAGTCAAAGAACTCTTGCAACGTCTCCACCCAGTTGACCACTTGACCCTTGAGCCCAGCACCCCTGATGGCCAAACTGCGGCATGCAGAATCTGTGTAAGGACTCCGTTGAGTCCTTCACTGTCCGTCGGTAAAGGCACTAGAAGTGGGGCTCAATAGCTCCGGAGGGAAGGTTTCTAGTACAAAAGTATGTTTTATTTCAGTCTAGACAGGAGAGAAAGATCTCTCATTAGTATATACAAATGAAGGAAAAGTGGGAAGAGAAGGAGAGAAGATAAGGTACTTACCTAGACAGGAGATAAAGATCTCTGCTGTCTAGGTAAAGGGGACAGATGAGACTAAATACAAAGCAGAAACGGCTTATGTAATCTTGTGACAGGTTAGTGTAAGCCTGTGAGGAGCAGTGCTTACAATCTGTCACTATGACTATTCCCGGAACCATGTTGTGATTGCTCTGCCGT